AACGTCAGATACAGAAAATTAAAATTTTTGGAACAGCTCCTGGGGGCAAATGTTCGTCAGATACTTAATTCGTATAAGTAAAATACAGGATCTGTTGTAAAACCTCCAGATAAATCCTATGCAGGCGAAAAAATATGTACTTTCTTTTTAAATATAGATAATATTAAGATCTACTACGGGCATTGTCCATTCTCGATATGGATATGCAATTGCAGATGTTGCTTACGCGTGGGCCAACTTGTCCGCGATAAATTTAATGAAATGGCTGCGGAACAATATCTTTGGATTGTCCTCGTGGGCATGCTCCTCGACCTGGCGCAGGTTCGTCCACTTCCAGAGTGCACGGCGCGCGTAGCTTTGGCGAAAGGAGGCAAATATTTCGGAGGTCTTTTTGCTGGGTATATTATCCTTATAATACGACTCCTTGTTCTTGGTGTTGAAATAGTAGACCTGGTTGCGAGAGCGCGATTTGGCCGAAACATAGCTTTGGTTCAACTCGCAGAGCATGAGAATGCTGCCGGGAACAAAGAACTTGTTGTCATCGAGGGAGAAGCCGAAGCGCTGCGAATTGTCTTTCAGCACATAGTGGCGCATCTCGCTAAAGAAGCTGTTCATGTCCTGCAGTCGAAAGAATGGCTTGCTGCGCAAGGGACCGCAACTGCGCTCCTTCTTGTACGGCTTGTTCAAGCTACGCGCATACTTATCGCACATGCTGATGCGATCGCATAGCGGACGACGACGGATGTCGATGCCGCCCAGGCAGATCCCGTCGATGATGTGCAGAGCGGGCACGCGCTGAATGGTGCGCCCCTCACCATAGAACTCGAAGACGATCTGGCCGAAAAATATGGAACGAGCCTGCACCTCAAAGGACGTTTCGACCAGCTCCCACTTCTTGTGCTCGGTGTAGCGGAGAAGATTACCGCGCGACTTGCACATGAAGAGGCTGCAGCTATTGATGTTGGTCTCTTCCCGCCCGATCGGCATGAATATCCAGTCCCTGACATTCTGCACGGTATTGGAGAGGGCTGCCACATTGTTCATCTCATTTGGCGCAAAATTGAGCCAGCTGCGATCCTGCCACCAATCGACGAGCAGCTCCTCGAGCAGGCGATCTGTTGGTTTTATTTCTGGCGCCTGACGCAGCTTATCGGGCAGTACCCAGCGCTTCAGGCACTCCTGACGCACCTCCGACTGGCGTGTTTCCTTCAGCTCCGTGTTCTTGGCAAAGGTAGCGATCTTTCGCAGACCCACAATCTGCTTCTTTCCAATGGCATTGTTCGAGTCGATGATGTAGTGTATGAAGTCTGCATCTGCAGCGATCTCGTTGGCGTCGAATATCTCAAGGATGTCGTTATCACTGTCGCGCTCCTCGTTAAGCATAATATTGATTTTATTCATGAAATTAGTAATGGCAGAGGTATCCTCCTGCTTGTATTTGCAGACAAGGTAGCGCTCCGAGTTGGCCGGACGACTGCTATTTGGCTTTATGATTGCGATTTGGTGGAAGCATTTATACATCAGGTAGATAAGGCCTACGCTGAACGGTGTAAACAGATCGAACACCTTGCACACAAAGTTCCCGTTCTTGCGCAATATTTTGAGTGCGGTGAGGAACTGGCAGAGATAAAGCTGCTTCGACAGAATTTCCTGTATGTTCTCCTCGCCCTCCACTGAGAATCCTCCGTCGGCCATGGCAAAGTGCACGCCATCGGGTGTGTGACGGCGTATGTATTCGTTCAATGAATCCTGATTTTGGTCGTCGAATATGTTCCCATCATCTTTGATGCCATAGTATGTATCAAACGACTCAGGGGAGGCGGCAAAGAACTTCTCCAACTTAAAATCGTTGGCACCGCGCAGCGTGAATCCGAATCCCTTTGCCTCCCACAATTTGCGGAACAGAACATATTCAGAGAAGCCGCCGGGGCCTGGAAAGAGGAGCACATTCAGAAGAGCTCCAACTGGAATCACCCGATTGGCATTAACTCACCCGCACACATGTCTGTAAAGTAGAGGAGGTCCTTGGGATCCACCAGAGGACGGCCCTCGAGATCTCTGGGATTGGTGAACATGTAGTCGCACATGGAGTCAATGTTGGCCATTTTGACGGCGGCCCGATTGAGAAAAATGGAGCTGCGTATGGTCTCAAATGGATTGCAGCGAGAGCGGGCCCGGCGTTTCTCGTTGTCGTTAAGATCGTCAAATGCGGACTTCGCCGTAAGGATGTCATGGAGGACTGCTGGATTACAATAGCGGGTCTCATCATCCAGAGTGCTTTTGCGTTTACCAAACACGACGGAGCGCATCAATTGATCCATGGCATAATGACTGGCATTCGAGCCCACATTTGTCAGCCACTCAAATGTCTCTGGCATCTCTAGCTCTTCGCAGTTGGGGTCCCATTGCCCAGCAGCTAAGTGGGCTGCGTCCAGCTTGAGGCCAAAACCGCGACGACCATCCTGCTGGACAGCTATAATGGGGTCCAAGCGACCTTGATTGCTCTTACCCAAACCCTTATCGTTCTCATAGCCCATTTTTTTCATCATCTCCATGGCCTTGTTGGAGTAGCTCTTCACCCACTCCCGCTTTATCTTCTTTGGAGTGGGCTCCGAGTTCTCATCGTCGGACTGTTCCTCCATCATGGCTATGCACTGAATAAACTAATAAGGAAGTTTCCTTAAACCGTACGGCAGACAATTTGTTTATATAGAGCTCAGTGTGGCCGTGGATTTATCGATAAGATATACGGTCTGACCCTCAGCAATATACTTTACAGTTTCGAAACATACCAAAAATATACCGACGAATTATTTGCATTCATATTCCATCATATTCTACGATTTGGATATTCCGTTGAATATTACTAACTAGCAGAACCATCAGCTCTGAAAACATAATTTTATCTGATTGACGAAGTTAAGTTATTGCTTATAATGAAATGCTTAAGCAAAAAAGTCAACAACAATTTCCACAAAATTAATTATTTTACATGGTAACTACACGGTAACTACACATTTTCTACATATTAGGTGCATATTTATATACCGCTTAGAATTTATATTAAACTAAGTTTAATCCATTAAAAAGTATAACACCATACATTTATCAAATGCATATTGGCGGCTGAATAGGTTATGCTCCAGCTTAAAAGGTATTCTTTGCGCATTTTCAGCTCGCTCTATTAACGTATTTTCTGAATAGATACTACCATAAAACTTTAGGGGAAAAAATACATCGAATTTTTTCTTGGACAAACTTGCCATTTTTTAGCGGATATATAAAATTCAATATAGTTTTATATAATATTATATAATATATTTAAAAAACGTTTGACCGTTTTTTTTCCATATAATCCGTATGGAAGCGCCAGTGTGAAAAACCTCCGTTATCTACTTTTTTACCGCTTACCGTTTTCTATGCCTTGTTTCAGACATGTTCATAGATTGAAATTGAAACAATAAGTAACTCGATGCCGTTCACGAATACTAACTCGATGTGGCCTGGGCATGACTCTAATTGGAATTTCTACACGATTTCTAAATTTTTTTATTGGACAAGAGGGTGAGACCAAGTCGCGTCCTAAAAAATATTGGAAAATACCAGAAATACTATGAAAAGTATACAAATATTCACGATATTTAGACATTATCGATCAAATATATGGTCTGACCATACTTTTTTCTCGATACTATATTTGAAATTCAATTTAAAAACACCAATAGAGAAAAAAAAAATGAACTGCTTTCGAATATTCCGTTCCGTTTCGCAGATTTTTCCATTTACTAGTTTAAGCCTTGGTCGTACGTTCGCGACCACATATTTATTGTTATCGTTATGAAAACAAAAAATTGGATGAATCGCATCTTTTTTACTAAACATGGAGCTAACTAAAAAAAGACTATCGAATTGACTAAAATAACAAGGATACAATTTTTGTTTTCTATATTTTATATACATTAAAAGCGTACGAACGTACGCGGAAGGTATGATCCGTGGAAGTAAGATGGGCACTTGCCCATATATCTCAGATTATAATTCAATGTATCACCTAGAAATTCCAACCAAAATTCTACCACTAATTCAATAATAACTTTTGTACTTTATGTTTTCGTTTTCGATTTTAGGTGCTCCAGATTTCAGAAATATTTCTTATCGATTAGTATCATTTTGTCATCGATTCAATTATTCAGTTAAGAAGATCAAGACAGATGCAACACATGTCTAACATGTCTGACGAGCTGGCCGCTTTTCTGTTACCAGATCAGTTAAACGCAAAAATTTATTTCTTGCCAACGTTCCGATAACCAAATCGGGTTGCGTCAGCTGTAAGCGCACAAACGAAAAGTGCTGCTACCCTGATTAGTTATTTGCCAGCCAAATTTTAGTTTGGGTTAAGAAAAAAATTGTTTATAAAGAAGTCACAAGCTGAACTGCCCTGAAAATGGTTTCAAATTTATGTTAATGCATCACATAGTCATGTATTTTGTTTCTTTTGCAATTAGGATTGCTTTAATATTTTCCCACGCCCCCTGCCGACACACAAATACCGAAAATCTGTGGCATCTACAATTTTAAAGATACAAAAACTCAACTTAGAATCATAACCACCAGATTGCAGTCGGATCAGTATTATAACCAGAAGGAGCAAATGAAGTTGCATTGGCTACGCTACGCTCTCCGTATACTCTTTATCACACTCACTCTTCCTAGTGCAGTGTGCGCGCTCTGGCCAAGGGAAATGAGGTAAAGCGGCTGGTGAGAATAGAAAACAGGAAATATGGGAATAGAGAAAAAGAAACACATGTAAAAAAAAAGCTTACATATAAATATACCAACTGAGTATCGGGTATAAATGTAGACACACGGCTTGAGTACCTGGGCCAGATCGAAGCAATCTTTACTTAAACTTCAAGATTTATTTTAGTCCTTACTCGGTTTTGCAACAAATTGGGGCATAATTTTAACTGAAAAATATCTTAGAAAAGTTCGCATTAAAAATGTCGTCAATGGGTCAGGGTCAAAGACCGGATAGACAGGTTCAAAGTCCTATTTCGCCTCCAAGGTCAGCACGTGCAGTGTCGCTGCCGCCTTCTGCGAAAGATACGGCATTTGAAGAGAAACCAGCCGCGAGCCGTGGTCAGGCTCCGGAACCCGGTGCAGATCCACCTCTGGATCAGACCCGTTCTTCTGGTGTGACTGAGGAGACGGCAAAAGAGGAAAGACGCGGCTTGTTCGGACGAAAAAAGGGGATACTGGTTGCGACCCCGAAAAGGGGTTCACTTTCTAATGGATTAGGACGCGAAGTCCACATACACCAAGGCCAAAAAGGAAAATCAACGCGCATTCTCTATACCACAGATGAGGAAGTGCGCGATGCTCTCCTGGAGTTTGGAGTGTTCATCATATTTCTTATACTGACATCATTGGGTGAGTAGGTGATTCACATTCAAGGTGTATACATCCGTAACGTATAATGACTGGTATATATTCTTATATATAAATATTACAATATAATTACTAGAAAGTTTACTCGAATGTTTAATCAATCATGTATGCAAATTCAAACAATTTTAGAAAAAAAAATTGTTTTAAATATTCTTCCATGTTTAATAAAAACAATTATGCTTACTTCAAAAACCTCGGATAAGATTAAAATACGATAACCATTTCTATGATCTTAAAAGTCAGCAAACAACATGTTGCATCTATTTTTCTAACCTCAAGCGCTATTAAGATTAAAATAATTTGTGTTGCAGTAACTCTGTCTGTGCGTCACCCTCACATGTTCTACTTTAACGATACTATAAAGAAACTATTTTCCACTCGCGAAATGGTTGTGGCTCCATCCGTTACGGTCTGTTTTGAAAAGATTCTCACTGTCCCAGATTGGTGGGACTATTTGGTATACAACTTTATAAAAACATTGCACGGAGATTTGACCATAACTACAGCAGCACCAAATGACACTACAACCGGTAAACAAAACGCTGAAGCGTTGCGTCAGGCCAGCGAGGATCAGTGGAATGTGGAGGATGGGTATGTGGATCGCGATTATGATGAATCCCAGAAACGGAACGGGGAATTCGAACAACGACCACAAGATGCCGGGCTTGAAGACATCGAGCTAGACGAGCAAACTTTCTACGACAAAAGAGCTGGTTTTGATGGTTCTGCCAGTACTAGACAAAACTCGAAAGCAACCACACATCTCGAGGGTCGCGTATATCTGCTCCAGAACCTTCTGCTCGGTCCCCCGCGCCTTCGGCAGATTCGTGTCCGCAGGGAGAGTTGTCAAGCGAGCGACGACTTCGTACGACATTTCAACACCTGCTACTCCGCCTATTCGGCGGGGATGGAAGAGAAAACCGGTACGCACAAAGGTACAGAGTTCTACACGATGGGCAAGCTGAACGCGACTCCGATTTGGACAGTGCTGGCATTCTATAGTACTGGTGGTTACATCGCTGATCTGACCTATGACAAGAACGATAATTTGGAGAAGATAAATAAACTGAGGCACGATAATTGGCTAGATCGCGGCTCAAGGCTATGTCTGATGGAGTTCAATCTGTACAACAAGAATACGGACATCTTTCAAAGCGTCAAGTAGGGATCAGCTTCGACTTAAAGTTTAGCTCATTTAAAGCTTCTCTTCCAACCAGACTTCTAGCCGAAATCCCCCCCACGGGAGGTGTGATACCACAGACGCATCTGCAAACTGTCAAGCAGTATTCTTTCTTCAACGATACCAGTCAGACTATGACTGTGATCTATATATTTTGGTATATCATGGTCGCTTATTATACTATCTGTGAGATTAATGGATTAAGAAAGTCGGGGATTACAATTTACTACAGGTCGTTGCTGAATGTTCTCGACACTATTGTATTAGTGGTAAATATTAACATTATTGGTCGCTTCCTGATCTCCCTTTCCATTCCTTCGACAGTACTAGTGTACTAGTGGTAACAATTTTTTTAATCATCGCTTCGCAATCTACCTTTCCACTCCTAGCTTTGCTACCTGGCCTTGATCTACAACGTCTGGCACACATTCCAAGTTGGTGCCCTTACACGAAATGCCAAGAGGCACACGGGCTATCAAAGTATCGATGTTCTTTGCTTTATGAACATCATCTATGTGGATATGATGGCCATTTTAGCTTTTCTTGTATGGATAAAAATATTCAAGTTTATCAGTTTCAACAAAACTCTTGTTCAGTTTACAACTACATTAAGAAGGGTATTTTTTAATATTTTAATTTCAATAGATGTCATTTTTGATGATTTATTTGAACATTTGTAGTGCTCCAAAGATTTGGCTGGCTTCAGTCTTATGTTCGGCATTGTTTTTTTGGCCTATGCTCAACTGGGCCTTCTGCTCTTCGGCACTAAGCATCCAGATTTTCATAACTTCGTCACTTCAGTCTTGACCATGATCCGCATGATCCTAGGCGATTTTCAATATAATCTCATTGAGCAAGCGAATCGGGTGCTGGGTCCCATCTACTTTCTCACCTACATTCTACTTGTGTTTTTTATATTGCTGGTAAGCTTTGAGCATCGAATGAGTTTTGTCGGTTACCATAAGTTGTATTCCACTAGAACATGTTCCTGGCCATCATCATGGAAACTTATAACTCGGTAAAGAGTGAAATTACCCAAGGGCGCAGTCATTTGGGCTCATATATCTATAAGAAGCTGGCTGCAGCCATTTACTGGATCGTCCACTGTGGCCGGAAGGCACGGGTTCAGCCTACCCGCCGAACTGCTTCTGTCAATGAGACTGATGTGGATGGCACGATCGCAGAATTTGAAGAGCCTAAAGTGCTAGCAAACATAACCCAAGCAGAGTATATTTACCAGAGTAAACTTATCAGTCCTTTTTAATTTTAGCTAAATATCTCTTTCAGCGCCCGTTACTTTGAAGAGGTTCCCCCCGATGTTCAAAACAAGGAACTATTTCAGTAAGAGCTCCGAAACTTTTTTTAGTGCCATTTATTATTTGTAAATCACCTTGGTTTTCTTTACTATCTCTTAGGCTAACAAATCGCGTAACACTGATTGAAGAAATTCTCGAACAGCTGGTCACCAATATGGATGATGTACTAAAACGCATCGAGAGAGAGCAAGGCGCAAGAAAACACTAGATTCGATATACGAGTTTGATGTATCTCAACTAATGTTGGATATTGGAGCATTATTCATTACTACCGTATTCTTACAGACTTAGAACTTTTTGCACCTTTTTTTTAATATGAATAGAATTAGTTCTGTAAAATAAAATCAGTATCAGAAACAGTCTGTCTCAGAACAACAAAATTGCTTTCACTCATCTTTCATTTCCATCATCAAGGACTGTCGCCGTGTCTTGAGACTCTCATTTTCACAACGTAGGATACCACAGTTCTCAGTCCGAATCTTTCTAGTTCTAGTTGCAACGACCAAACTGAAGCCGGTTTATGTACGTACGCAACGTAACTTATTACACTTATTTCTAGATCATGGTTAGCCTTTCAACGAAGCGACAGTGAATAGATTCGATCTGAGGGAAGTTAAAATTTCAAAAATCTTTAAAAAAAATATGTTGCATACTCAAGCTTTTTGAAGAAAGGTGTGAAGTGTTAGATGAGTTTCTTTGTTGGTACTTCGACTACTCTTAGATCTATGGATACAGTGAAACTTATCCTATTTTATAGTTATCTTTAAAGGGCTATACAAAATTACAAGCTAGTATAGTTTAAAAAAACATTAACGGCGTAAGGTCTTTTGTCCCAATTGAGATAAAGTATTTAAATGCTTAATTAAAACAATTAAAGTATTTAAAAATTTGTACAGATATAGATATACTATGTATCTATATACATATCTATATATACATATCTATATATACATATCTATATATACATATGTATGTATATCTATATTTATCTTAATTCAAAAGAATCGAAATATAGATTATTTTTCATATACATTGTACATCTTAGTTCATATTGATTGGAAGACATTGGATTTTGTCAAAAATGAAAGAATGCGTGTCTATGTTTTCAGGAGCTGAGTTGCCTAAGGTTTGTGAAGGATTATTATGGGCAAATATTTAAAGTTTATGGGTGCCTTGGGTGTCGTAGCTTGGGCTACTTTAGTATAGCCAGGTCAAAATCAGCAAGGGCAAGAGTACCACGCATTGCCACTAAAAAACGAGGGGGAACGTTGTGAGTTGCTGCGGCGACCGCAGCTCTACATTTATACTCGTTACATAGTCAGTATGGCTACATTGAGCGACAATGTGTGCGTGCGAGAGAGACAGAAAACGTGTCTGAACATGTCGTCGGGCCCTGCGTAGCCACTGCAAATTAATTTGTTCCTTTTGGCTATAGAAATGATCCGATCTGAGATTCAGCAATCTCATAGATACGGTCATTCTCTATGATTGTGCGTTTTTAGTTTTCTCGTATATTCAATATTGTGGATGCCACAGATTTTCGTCCTTTGTGGGGCGGAAGGTGGGGCGAAGTTTTGAAATATTGTAACAGTGACATATCACAGAAGTCTGGATCCAAAAAATCGTTTCTCTAGCTTTTATAGTCTTTAAGCACTAGGCGCTAATAGGGACGGACAGACGGACGGACGGAGAGACAGACAGTGCTCAATCGAGTCGGCTATTGATGCTGATCAAGAATTTATATACTTTATGGGGTCGGATACGATTCCTTCTGGACGTGACACACATCCATTTTCACCACAAATCTAATATACCCCAAAACTCATTTTGAGTATCGGGTATAAAAATTATCAAAATTCAGTAGAGTAGCAATTGACGGTATTAGTGTTTTGAATTAGTCAAATGTCACTAAAGTTGTCTTTAGAAACTTTTTCAAACCAAAGGATCGACTTTTATGTACCTGATACTCAAAGAGTAGATTTTTGGTGAAGTTGGATATGTGGATAGCACGATTAAGGAAGAGTTTCTGCCGCCATAAAGTATACATATAAACTCGTTTTCTTGATCAGCATCAATTGCGGAGTCCTCCGTCCGGCAGAATAGAAAACAGGAAATATGGGAATAGAGAAAAAGAAACACATGTAAAAAAAAAAGCTTACATATAAATATACCAACTGAGTATCGGGTATAAATGTAGACACACGGCTTGAGTACCTGGGCCAGATCGAAGCAATCTTTACTTAAACTTCAAGATTTATTTTAGTCCTTACTCGGTTTTGCAACAAATTGGGGCATAATTTTAACTGAAATATATCTTAGAAAAGTTCGCATTAAAAATGTCGTCAATGGGTCAGGGTCAAAGACCGGATAGACAGGTTCAAAGTCCTATTTCGCCTCCAAGGTCAGCACGTGCAGTGTCGCTGCCGCCTTCTGCGAAAGATACGGCATTTGAAGAGAAACCAGCCGCGAGCCGTGGTCAGGCTCCGGAACCCGGTGCAGATCCACCTCTGGATCAGACCCGTTCTTCTGGTGTGACTGAGGAGACGGCAAAAGAGGAAAGACGCGGCTTGTTCGGACGAAAAAAGGGGATACTGGTTGCGACCCCGAAAAGGGGTTCACTTTCTAATGGATTAGGACGCGAAGTCCACATACACCAAGGCCAAAAAGGAAAATCAACGCGCATTCTCTATACCACAGATGAGGAAGTGCGCGATGCTCTCCTGGAGTTTGGAGTGTTCATCATATTTCTTATACTGACATCATTGGGTGAGTAGGTGATTCACATTCAAGGTGTATACATCCGTAACGTATAACGACTGGTATATATTCTTATATATAAATATTACAATATAATTACTAGAAAGTTTACTCGAATGTTTAATCAATCATGTATGCAAATTCAAACAACTTTAGAAAAAAAAAATTGTTTTAAATATTCTTCCATGTTTAATAAAAACAATTATGCTTACTTCAAAAACCTCGGATAAGATTAAAATACGATAACCATTTCTATGATCTTAAAAGTCAGCAAACAACATGTTGCATCTATTTTTCTAACCTCAAGCGCTATTAAGATTAAAATAATTTGTGTTGCAGTAACTCTGTCTGTGCGTCACCCTCACATGTTCTACTTTAACGATACTATAAAGAAACTATTTTCCACTCGCGAAATGGTTGTGGCTCCATCCGTTACGGTCTGTTTTGAAAAGATTCTCACTGTCCCAGATTGGTGGGACTATTTGGTATACAACTTTATAAAAACATTGCACGGAGATTTGACCATAACTACAGCAGCACCAAATGACACTACAACCGGTAAACAAAACGCTGAAGCGTTGCGTCAGGCCAGCGAGGATCAGTGGAATGTGGAGGATGGGTATGTGGATCGCGATTATGATGAATCCCAGAAACGGAACGGGGAATTCGAACAACGACCACAAGATGCCGGGCTTGAAGACATCGAGCTAGACGAGCAAACTTTCAACGACAAAAGAGCTGGTTTTGATGGTTCTGCCAGTACTAGACAAAACTCGAAAGCAACCACACATCTCGAGGGTCGCGTATATCTGCTCCAGAACCTTCTGCTCGGTCCCCCGCGCCTTCGGCAGATTCGTGTCCGCAGGGAGAGTTGTCAAGCGAGCGACGACTTCGTACGACATTTCAACACCTGCTACTCCGCCTATTCGGCGGGGATGGAAGAGAAAACCGGTACGCACAAAGGTACAGAGTTCTACACGATGGGCAAGCTGAACGCGACTCCGATTTGGACAGTGCTGGCATTCTATAGTACTGGTGGTTACATCGCTGATCTGACCTATGACAAGAACGATAATTTGGAGAAGATAAATAAACTGAGGCACGATAATTGGCTGGATCGCGGCTCAAGGCTATGTCTGATGGAGTTCAATCTGTACAACAAGAATACGGACATCTTTCAAAGCGTCAAGTAGGGATCAGCTTCGACTTAAAGTTTAGCTCATTTAAAGCTTCTCTTCCAACCAGACTTCTAGCCGAAATCCCCCCCACGGGAGGTGTGATACCACAGACGCATCTGCAAACTGTCAAGCAGTATTCTTTCTTCAACGATACCAGTCAGACTATGACTGTGATCTATATATTTTGGTATATCATGGTCGCTTATTATACTATCTGTGAGATTAATGGATTGAGAAAGTCGGGGATTACAATTTACTACAGGTCGTTGCTAAATGTTCTCGACACTATTGTATTAGTGGTAAATATTAACATTATTGGTCGCTTCCTGATCTCCCTTTCCATTCCTTCGACAGTACTAGTGTACTAGTGGTAACAATTTTTTTAATCATCGCTTCGCAATCTACCTTTCCACTCCTAGCTTTGCTACCTGGCCTTGATCTACAACGTCTGGCACACATTCCAAGTTGGTGCCCTTACACGAAATGCCAAGAGGCACACGGGCTATCAAAGTATCGATGTTCTTTGCTTTATGAACATCATCTATGTGGATATGATGGCCATTTTAGCTTTTCTTGTATGGATAAAAATATTCAAGTTTATCAGTTTCAACAAAACTCTTGTTCAGTTTACAACTACATTAAGAAGGGTATTTTTTAATATTTTAATTTCAATAGATGTCATTTTTGATGATTTATTTGAACATTTGTAGTGCTCCAAAGATTTGGCTGGCTTCAGTCTTATGTTCGGCATTGTTTTTTTGGCCTATGCTCAACTGGGCCTTCTGCTCTTCGGCACTAAGCATCCAGATTTTCATAACTTCGTCACTTCAGTCTTGACCATGATCCGCATGATCCTAGGCGATTTTCAATATAATCTCATTGAGCAAGCGAATCGGGTGCTGGGTCCCATCTACTTTCTCACCTACATTCTACTTGTGTTTTTTATATTGCTGGTAAGCTTTGAGCATCGAATGAGTTTTGTCGGTTACCATAAGTTGTATTCCACTAGAACATGTTCCTGGCCATCATCATGGAAACTTATAACTCGGTAAAGAGTGAAATTACCCAAGGGCGCAGTCATTTGGGCTCATATATCTATAAGAAGCTGGCTGCAGCCATTTACTGGATCGTCCACTGTGGCCGGAAGGCACGGGTTCAGCCTACCCGCCGAACTGCTTCTGTCAATGAGACTGATGTGGATGGCACGATCGCAGAATTTGAAGAGCCTAAAGTGCTAGCAAACATAACCCAAGCAGAGTATATTTACCAGAGTAAACTTACCAGTCCTTTTTAACTTTAGCTAAATATCTCTTTCAGCGCCCGTTACTTTGAAGAGGTTCCCCCCGATGTTCAAAACAAGGAACTATTTCAGTAAGAGCTCCGATACTTATTTTAGTGCCATTTATTATTTGTAAATCACCTTGGTTTTCTTTACTATCTCTTAGGCTAACAAATCGCGTAACACTGATTGAAGAAATTCTCGAACAGCTGGTCACCAATATGGATGATGTACTAAAACGCATCGAGAGAGAGCAAGGCGCAAGAAAACACTAAATTCGATATACGAGTTTGATGTATCTCAACTAATGTTGGATATTGGAGCATTATTCATTACTACCGTATTCTTACAGACTCAGAACTTTTTGCACCTTTTTTTGAATGTAAATAGAATTAGTTCTGTAAAATAAAATCAGTATCGGAAACAGTCTGTCTCAGAACAACAAAATTGCTTTCACTCATCTTTCATGTCCATCATCAAATCCTCTTTGTTTTTTTTAGTGAAAATTGGGCTGAGCAATGGAAACAAATCTATGGCATTCACAATTTTGAAGATATGAGAAAACTAAAATTATTATAAGATCAGATTATTATTATTATTATATTGTCAACTCAATTTGCAATTGCTATGATGGCGTACCATGCGCTTAGTCATTCCCTCTCTTTCACATACTCTTCCATTTGCACTGTGGAAGGCAGCCATACTAACTGAGTATCAGGATTAAATGTAAAGTCGCGGCCCTAGCTTCGGCTCACAACGTTTCCGCTCGCTTTAATTCTATAAAGCTTTGCCGAAAAATTTAATGGCTCGCGAGACATTTAATTAGTCTCACATATTTTTAATTGTTTTGAAAACAGTTCTAAGATTTATGCTAATATATACATACATATGTACATATGTATTGTATTGATTTCATATTCTTACGACTTATTACATTGAGTTATCGTCACCATGTGATGATTTCTTGAACCGTTTCATATTTTTATACCCGATACTCAAAATTCATGGGTATATTACCCGAACCCTGTGCGAATGCTGCCCACGACTGAAGTTTTATAAGGAAGTGCCCGTTAGGATCGGCGTATTCCTGGGGGTGCATCGACGTCAATAACATTAGTATGTGTGTAGAACTCAATCATCTCACCTTTATGAATTTGATAAATAACTAAAATATTTTTGTATATTTTCATTTTCATGTTAAATCACTTAATAATTGTAAGTGTTTGAATATTTAATTATAAGAAATTAAAATGAATGTTATTAAATTTGAAATCAGACAATTTATATTAATAACAATTTCAAATTAACAGAAAATCTCCCTATATACATATGTAAAATTTTGAATGCAAATATCATAAATATTAAAATTACAAATATTCATGCGTTTTTGGGAAGATTTTGGCCATATAGATATTTCGAGCTTAGGTCTTCCTTACACCTTGTTGTCTCTCAAAGCGTTGCAGTATGCTATCAATATTGGTAACAAGCTGTTCGAGAACTTCTTCAATCAGACTTACGCGATTGGTAAGACTAGGAAAAAGCAAAAAACAAAAGTTATAAACTATAACCCAAACAATATATCAGGGCTCTTACCGAAACAATTCCCTATTCTGAACATCGGGAGGAATATTTTGGAAATACCGTGCCCTGAAATAGATATTCAGTTTAAATTATGTATGTTTAAAGCTGTACCTAGTAAATGTACTCTTCTGTGGTCATGCTCCTCCTCAGCAGCTTAGGCTGCTTTAATTCTGTGGCCGTGGAATTCTGATCAGCTTCATTGAATGCAGGTGGTGGGCGGGCTGACCGGAAACGACGCGCACGGCCGCAGTGAGTTATCCAGTAGAAGGCACCAGCCAGTTTCTTAATGACATATGAGGCTAACTGGCTGCGTCCTTGAGTGATTTCATTCTTGACTGAGTTATAAGTTTGCATGATGATGGCTAAAAACATGTTCTTGTGGAATACAACACATTAAGACCTATAAAATGTATTTAAGTTCTCAAACTTGCCAACAGGATGAAGAACACAAGCACAATATAGGTGAGAAAGTAGATGGGCCCGAGCACCCGATTGGACTGCTGAATAAGAGTGTACTGAAAATCACCGAGGATCATGCGGATCATTGTTAATACTGAGGTGACAAAATTATTAAAATCTGGATGCTCAGTGCCGAAAAGCAGAAGACCCAGTTGGGCATAGGCCAAAAAAACAATGCCAAACATAATACTGAATCCAATCAAATCCTTAGAGCACTATAAATTTTCAAAAAATCAATCACAGTTATTGTCACAGTCTAGCCAATAAATATTTTGAATAAAATGGCATACCTTTCTTAAAGTCGTTGTGAACTGAATGAGTGTCTTGTTGAAACTGATAAACTTGAATATTTTGATCCATACCAAAAATGCTAAAATAGCCATCATATCCACATAGATCAAATTCGATAAGCAGAGAACATCGATACTTTGATAGTGCTGTTGCGTGTAGGCCTTGGATGTAATGGATTTCATTTTGAAGGTATGCCAAATGTTGTAGAACAAGGCCAGGTAACATAACTGGGTACAAGAAAAATAGATAAGAAAAGTAGATCGGGAACATAACAGTACAGAAAATAATACTTACCACTAACACAATATTATCAAGAATGTTCATTAATGATGTGAAGTAGGCTCTCCATCCTGACTTGCAGAATGCATTGATCTCACAAATGGTGTAGTAAAATACCATTATATACCAGAATATATAGACTACAGTCATGGTCAGACTGAGATCGGTGAAAAAAGAATACTCTTTGACTGTTCGCAAATGCGCCTGCGGTATGACACCACCCGTGGGGGGGATTTCAGCAATAAGTCTGGAGAGAAGAAGAACTTGAAATAAACTTTAATTAAAATCGAGGCAAACCCCTACTTAACGCTCTGAAAGATGTCTTTGTTATCGTTGAACATATTGAACTCCACCAAACACAGCCTCGAACCGCGATCCAGCCAATTAACGCTTTTCAGCTTATTTATGCTCTGCAGATTCTCATCCTTGTCGTAGGTCAGATCAACAGTGTACCCACCAGAGCGATAGTAGGCCAGTAAAGTCAAGATCGGGGTGGCGCCCAGTTCGCGCATTGTTCGGTATCGAGTACCTTTGTGCCATTCGGAGTTCTCTTCGGCCGCATTGGAATATGCGGCATAGCAGGTGTTGAAGTTCTGAGGGAAGTTACCGTCCGTTTGGCAACTGTTCTTGCTAACGCGAATCTGCCGTAGGCGTGGTGGACCAAGCATAAGGTTCTCGTGCAGGAATAAGCGACCGTTGAGATGGGTAGTCAAATTAAGGCTGCTTTCAGCCCATGGGACAGTTTCGCTAGCAGTATCGCTACGAGCACTACGACTTTTTGTGGTTTCGCCGATTTGCGCGCTCAGGTCAAGGTCCAGGTCCAGGCCATCGAGATTTTCGTCCCTGTCGATTTCATCGATCTCGCCGTAAGGTAGTGCTGGTCCAGTTTCTCTTTTCCTCCTAGAGGATTCATCATTGCGTTCAACATCCCCATCCTCCACATACAGGATATCTTCGCTGGACTTGAATGAGCTCCGATCGGTTTTGGCTTCGTTAACGGATTTAGATCGTGGGCTTGTTGAAGTGCTGCTGGTCATATCTCCATGCAATGTATTTATAAAGTTGTATACCAAATAGTCCCACCAATCTGGGACGGTGAGCATCTTCTCAAAGGAGACCGTCACTGATGGGACCACAGTCAGGTTGCGTGTGGTAAACAGTTTCATCATCGTATCATTAAAGTAGAACATATGAGGGTGACGCACGGACAAAGTTACTGGAAGAAAAACGAGTTCGAAATCCAGGAATCACCACACAGGAAGTCGATTGGGGTTTGATTATGGTATATGCGATTTCTAATATAGTACAAAATCGTATGGTTAGACCTAGAAAAATAAGTAGCCTGTCTAAATAAATAATCAAAAATATTCCCTTAATGACCCTTAATGATATTTATATCATTATTATAAAACTCATTCTGGATGACCATTTGGTCAACTTTCACACCATCTGCATGAAACTATCTTAGATCTGACTTTTGGAATATTCTGCTGTTATATTTGTGGTGCTTCTTTAGTCATAAAGAAATAGACTATCGATAATATGCCTAGAATCTAGAACAACCCTAAGATCCTAAATAAGCAATTGTGACTCGTAAAAACTGTATATAAACCTCGCATGTTTCGTAATAAAATCAGTACGAAAGAAAACTCAGATGCATTTACTTCTGTGAAGTCCAATTTGTTCAAGTTCTGATTGCGGCGACATTTTTTTACTGTCACATAAACCGGTGGCATACACCGTATGAAATCATATTGAAATCATAAGAATCATGTGAATTTACAACAAAAAATTGATTTATTCACATTCAATACAGGGCTTACCTTATTAAATCTTAGAGTCGCAGCCGTAGCATACATACGTAGCCGTAGCACACAACATTCCAATTACTTAACTTAATTAATTTAACTTAATTAATTCTCTATTGAAATATTTAATAATTAAGTGCTTACAGCTCCCCAGAATGGTCGGCTTATTGCTATGTATGTACATATAGGTAACATTGAAATGTATTTTTTGTATGTAGTTAATACAAATTAGTTATTGATCAATTTTATGTTGACATGTTAAAAGACTTACAGTGATATACCGAAGAAACAGAGATCTTATCGATTGTAAAATCATACAACTAATATAACGATATGCTCATCTATATTTTTAACTCTCTTCTTTTATATTACTTGACCTGAACACATAACACATATTAAAAGTGTTTTAAAAGTTAACTAAAACCGATAATTTATTTGACGAACTCTTGATATTTCTAACAATAACAAAGCTGGAAATGAAATGCGAAATTAAATGAAGAAAAAAAAAGTGTTTTAGAATTAAACAACAGCAACAACTTGGCTGCAAAAACTGTCTAGGAACAGGAGTCTAAAAGACGGTATTTTTAATGGGCCTTGGAACTTACAAGTCATAGAAAGCTATTACTCCGATTTATATTTTGCGTGCCTTAATAAAAGAGAAAACTGTTTCTTTATACCCAATCAACAGCAGAAAAATTCCTTTTGTTGCACTCGAAGTTTTGCAAATTCATCAAATAATATAGAATAGAATAGATCAAAAAGCAAAAAACTGAAAAAGACTGGAAAATGTATACCATTCAAGTTAAAAGACTTGGTTCCTGAAAACAATAAGTATTGGAGGCCTATAATAACACATTTAAAAATTATGTACACTCCGTTAAAATAAATGTAACAGCCATGACAACAGCAAATATCCATGTCCGTCTGTCCGTATTTTTTGAAAACAAGCTACGAGAGGATATAACAACTAACGTAAGCGGATTATGGGTAGACTTCTATGATATCAATGTAAAAAATATATCCTTCAAAGATAAATATAATATGATCTTACCGACCAGATTGCGATCTGATCATTATTACAAGATGAATACAAAATTAAGCTGCTATAAAGATTGCCTCCATCCGTCGTATTTCATTGAAGTATGGCTTTCATTTCAGCACAATTTGGTATTAAACTCACCCAGAGATGTAAGGACAAGGAAAATGATGAAAACTCCAAACTCCATGAGAGCGTCGCGCACCTCCTCGTCAGTTGTATAGAGAACACGCGATGTCTTAACTTTTAGGTGCTGTGGTAAGGGGGTGTCGCGTCCCAATCCACTCATAGCCGTGGCTTTTTTTTGACTCGCAATTATTTCATCTTTCTTTTGTCCGAAAAAACTACTTTTTTTCGTTTTCAGCGAGTTCTGGCTCTCTGTTGTGGCTGGTACCTTAACTTGGTCAGCTTTCTCAGCTGATTTTGCACCATTTCGACGTTTTGGCAGCTGGACACGAGGGAGATCCTTAACTCGGATCGTGGCTGGTCTTGCTGCAAATGCAGTATTTCTCGAAGTATGGCGCTGATTTGGATGCGGCACTGCACGTGCCGCCCTTTGTGGCGCGTCAGGACTCTGATCCAGTCCACGTGAGTACATTTTTATTACAAATTTAACTTATAAGTTTTTGCACAAGGATTTTTCTAGTTTCTTGGAAAGACTTGTTTAAATAGAAATTTAAAAACCGCTTGCTAGGTTCTTAATCAGATACCAAGAGTTACTTTAATGATACAGTCCCATACCCATACAATCACTAAATATATCTTCAGCTACACGGAAAAGAAAGCAGCTCGTTATCAAATCGAAATTCCCCATTCAAATCGATATGTGGATAATATCAAATCGATATCCATTCAAAATTTTTTTTTCGAAATCTTTCGCCAAAAGTTTTTGTGACAAAGAATTTTATGAGGGCTTCGTATAAAATGAATATAAAATCATATTTTTACCATTTTTGAGGCGAGATCGCGTCATTTAAATCGATCTAGAATCCGCAACTCTACATTTATACCCGACACTCAATCAGTATGGCTCCTCTCCGCCAGAGGACGCACACATTTACCACGAAGAGTGTGTGAGAGAGAGAGACAGAAAAAAAATGGCTCTATCGACTCAGCTATTTATGCTGATCAAGAAAATGTGTACTTTATGGGATCGGAAACGCTGCCTTCTGGGCGGGATCTAAAAATAAGATGAAAACAACTTTTTACGTTTCACTTGATGGTGGTCTGGTGCCGCTCCATATAACGGGGTGCCACTTACCGTTAACCGGAAGCTTGTGTATCGAAAGCGGAGACAGTGTTGCCACGCGTGTCTGCGAAATTGCCCAAGAAAATGGCCGTTCCTTGGCCCATTCAATAAGCAGATAGATTGTGGCTTTCTTTGTAATGTTTTTTGATTGTTCTCTTTCTTTTATTTAAATGCGTTTGTATGTTTGTTCTTTTCATTCATATTTCACCTTGGTTGCACTGGGTTTTATGATGACCATAAAAATGGTGTTACAACCATCCACTTCCAGCACAAATCTAGTAAAACCCTAATCTCTTTGAGTATCGAGTATAAAAATACCCCATTAGACTTAGCTTAAACAATCAAAAACTTGTTTAAAATCTGTCATTTTATCCTAGAAGAGATGATTTGATTTTGTAGTTCCCTTAACCTTGGCCATGAGTTTCGTTGGAGCGGTAGTCGTGAGAAGCTAAAGCTCGTAGTTTTCAAAATGTCCGCATGCCCAGAGAACCCCCATCAGCCTCTGATTTGCTGCCAGAGCTGCACGGGGTTGTATAGAGGGTAAGTAAAAATACAATATAGCTCGTCAGTAATGACTCGTTATTTCTTTTTTTTTCCAGAAATTCTTTTCAGTCGTACTGCCCCCAGTCGTATTGCCCCCAATGTTACTCTAGATCTTTTTGCCAGCATCCGGTCCACTCTCCGGAGGAGTTTGCCCAATTCTCGGACATTGGTATTCCATGCTTTCTGTGCAAGCAGTCGGATTGTACACCCAAGCTGGATTGCTGTGACCAATACTTTGATGAATGTGGAGGAAAAAATACAACTAAAACGGCGACTGGGGATAAAAATAGGCAGACTGGTAAGCCGGGTACTGGAGCAAAGAAAAGAGCGAAAAAACAGAAGACTGATGACGAAAATAAACAGACTGGTAGAGCAGATAATGGAGCAAACGGATCGGGCAGACAGATTACTAAGGACGGAAGTGAACAGAATGGTAAGACGGATCTTGGAGTAAACAGATCGGCAAGACAGTCTACTGGGGAAAGATATGGACAGAATGCTAAGAGGAGTATTGGAACAAACAGAAAGGGCACACTGCCGACTGGGGACGGAAATATGCAAAATGGTAGGCTTGATAATGGACCAAACAGAAAGGGTAGAGAACCGGAGGGTGACGGCAATAAAAAGTCTAGTAAACCGGGTATTGGCGCAAACAAAATGGGTACACAGGGTAATGAACCAAAGAGGACAGATAAAAAGAAAACGGGGGACAAAAATGGACCGTCTAATGGCGCTAATGGTCCGACTGGACAACCTCCGGCTCCTTGGCCGCCTCAAGAAGGATTCTCTGTGCATGGAATGGCTCCTGGAACGCAGGGTATGCAGGGAATGGCTGCTGGAACTCAGGATATGCAGAGAATGGCTCCTGGAACTCAGGGTATGCAGGGAATGGCTCCTGGATCGCAGGGTATGCAGGGAATGGCTCCTGGATCGCTGGGTATGCAAGGAATGGCTCCTGGAACTCAGGGTATTCAGGGAATGGCTGCTGGAACTCAGGATATGCAGCGAATGGCTCCTGGAACTCAGGGTATGCAGGGAATGGCTCCTAGATCGCAGGGTATGCAGGGAATGGCTCCTGGAACTCAGGCAATGCAGGGAATGGCTCCTGGAACGCAGGGTATGCAGGGAATGGCTCCTGTCAGTCAGTTTGGTGCTTACGGTGAACAAAGGAGTTTGCCTACTCCGGGTGCACAAGTTGCACTGACTGTGAACGAAAATGGAAGGACTGGAATGTTTGCTAATGGCGCTAATGGTCTGATGGGACAACCTCCGGCTCCCTGGCCGCCTCAACAAGGATTCCCTGTGCATGGAATGGCTCCTGGAACTCAAGGCATGCATGCAATAGGTCCTGGAATTCAGGGCATGCAGGGAATGGCTCCTGGATCGCAGGGTATGCAAGGAATGGCTCCTGGAACTCAGGGTATTCAGGGAATGGCTGCTGGAACTCAGGATATGCAGGGAATGGCTCCTGGATCGCAGGGTATGCAGGGAATGGCTCCTGTCAGTCAGTTTGGTGTTTACGGTGAACAAGGAGGTTTACCTACTCCGGGTGCACAAGTTGCAGTGACTGGGAACGAAAATGGACCGACTGGAATATTTGCTAATGGCTCTAATGGTCCGACGGGACAACCTCCGGCTGCCTGGCCGCCTCAAGAAGGATTCTCTTTGCATGGAATGCCTCCTGGAACTCAGGGTATGCATGGAATAGCTCCTGGAACTCAGGGCATACAGGGAATGGCTCCTGGGTCACAAGGTATGCACGGAATGGCTCCTGGAACGCACGGAATACAGGGAATGGCTCCCGGCAGTCAGTTTCGTGTTTACGGTGAACAAGAAGTTTTGCCCACTCCGCGTGCACAAGTTGCCATGCCTGGATATATAACAAAGCAAATACCAAGGTACAAGGATCCAGGATCCATGGCAATCGGTTATCCACCTCAAGTATATCAAGCTCCAGGAGGTGGTCGACAAGATCTGCTAGGATATGGTCAACAAGCTGTGCAGGCAAATGAGACTTACGGAGAAGGAGAGACTCAATCAGCTCAATCGAGGAAGTCGCAGGAGAAGACCGGAGAAATCTGTGATCAGTCCAATCCCAGCAGAGATGCTATTCATCGGTGAGTGTCACGTCAGAGTTACATTAAGACCCAATACTTAGCCAGTATGTGTGTTTCCATCTCGTTCTCCTCCGCCAAGGAAGAGTGTGTGATAGGGAGGGAATGAGTAAGGGCGTTGAATGGGTTACACTGACATTTCATATGTTCCTTTTTTCTATAATACTGCTCCGATTAAAACATCTTATCCGGCAACCTGCTGGATATTTTAGCAGTAAATAATTCTATCCTATTTATTTTATTCTTAGGATTTAGAAAAGGGCCTATTCCGGGGAGCACTCGCATAGTAATGTATTAGGCAGAGTATCTAGGCAAACACTTTTCGATTTTTGAAGAAACTTAGAGTATTTTCGCGGTTTATCGAACAGTCTTTTGGCATATTTAAAATCTTGCCATGATCTTCCCGAATGTTAATGGCTAGCTTAAGCTCATCAACTCAAACCTTTTAATTATTTAGTACACAGTATAATTTAATTTTATAAACAATTCGTCGATTTCCCGAAGAGTTTTCCAGCCAAGTTCCATTTCAGTATTACCAAATTTTGACAGAGAATCTGTTTCCTTGGGAAGCCATTAGTCAATATTGAAATGTTTTGTGTCAGACAGACAGTCAAACTATGTCTCAGTCAGCAAATGGTATTTAAAAGAAAAAAGTAAAACTTCCGCCTGGCTACTTTACTTACTGTGATGCAATAATTAATTAATAATATATTAATAATAATTATAATAATGATAACATTTTGATGCCGCTTAAGGAGAGAGACAGAGGTAGGCAATGGCTTTCCGCTTTCAGCATTTAGATCAGCCAACAATATACGCACCTGCCTGCTGATTCTGTATGAAAAAAACTCTCAGATGAGCTCCGATTTCAGCTACGCTAAGCCCTAAGAATAATCCTATCTATATTCGGCAATCTGCTAGATATGGTCATTCCCTATGTTGCTGCGTCTTTAGTTTTCTCGTATCTTAGAAATTATGAATGCCACAGATTTTCGTTCTTTGTACGGGCGAAGGGGGGTGTGGCAAAATTTTGAAACAAACTTGATTCAGTGTGATATCACAGGAGCCAACACTTAAAATTATAGTCTTTGAGAACTAGGCGTCAAACAAGACGGACAGACGGACAGTCATACGTGACTGTAGCGACTCGACTATTGATGCTGATCAAGAATATATAACTTTATGAGGCCTGTAACACTTCCTTCTGCGTGTTACACACAACTACCTTCAGCACAAATATAATATACTCCCAAGCTCTTTGAGTATCGGGTATAAAAATAAAGTCCCAGTTCCGAGATCGATGCATTAATCCAATGTCCAACGTCATCTGCAGAGTCCTTCAGTCGCTGCAATTGTCATTTCCCGAGAATGGTCTGCAGAATTGTTGTCTCTTTCTGCCTGTCAATCTCGACATTGCCAACCGGATAGATGAGGGCGATTCCAAGAAGGAAAAGGAATCGTCACTAAAACGCAAACTTGGCAAACGCGATGCAGATAGTAAGAAGGCTACATCTGGTGCTGCTTTACCCACTCCCATATCGAACGAATCAATGCCAGCTTCGGCGAATACCGCAAACGGTTCCAGTGACTGCAGTCCTGTTGTATTGCCGGAGCAATCGATGCCATCCTACTGCTGGAATAACAGTTTCTTCATTCAGTGAGCTAATTAGCACTTATTATCAATCCTTTATGTCAATAACTCCCCACAGAGCCGACGAATGCACGCAGACGGGATCATCCAAGCCCAGAAAGAACCCAAAAGAATTTCCGCCTGCAGTTCAGTGCGAACCTGCACCAAAAGAAGCCCCCATTTCGAGTGGTTTCAACACCTGCTGCAATGCCTACTGCGATTCCTGCTATTGGCCCTTTTACTACTACTACGACCCATACATTGGCTGCTACTGTTGGTACCCCAGCCCCAACTACTGCAATGGCTGCCAGAACTGCTGTCCGCTTAATCCGCTGGAGAAGATAAGCGAGAAACAACAGCACAAGGAGGCAGCCCCAGTGCCCGCAGCAGCAGCGCCCAAAAAAAAGAAGAAAATTGTAAGGAAAAAGGGCGGTGGGCCAGAGCAGATGAGCTGTAACCTAGGAGGCACCATCTCCAAATGCCAAACTGCAGCGGTCCCCAGGGATATGAGGCAGGCTATTATCCCACGGCCTTACCCTGTGGTTGCTCCGCTTATGGGCAGATTGGATTGGCCGACAGAATTCCTTGATCCAAGTGTCGGGTAGCTACTCAAACCACAAATCCTGCAAGGACGCCACATTGTATGTGCACGACTCGGACGACACGTTCTGCTCTATGTCTCCAAATTTAACGTAGAATACACTTTTTACCATTTCGAAGAACAAGTCTATGAAAGAATAATAAATAAAAAGATAGATCTGATCGTGGAGAAGTATCCATAGGTGTCACAGAATCTCTAGAGATCTAAAATAATGAGAATTGAAGCACTCCAGGCACTCCAGATTATTCTTTACTTTTTTATGTTCAGATTTGTAGGTAGCACGTAAGTATACTAATAGAGTGCATAAAGATGCACATCAACAAAAATTTGCAAATTTTAAATCAAATTTTTTATCAGTAAGAACAGCAAGGTCCATTTTGGACGTCGAACGAATAAAGCAACAAAAAAACGAAATAGTAGAACAGAAAGAACAGACGAACAAATCCAACAATATAACGAAATTGTGCATGTGAGCATGTCGCAATATCGTGAATACCAATCCTTAGAGGCAAGAGATGAACAAAATCGATAGCGATAATTGGAACGGAGACAATCGCGCTGGTACGTACGGATAAAAAGTATTAACATCCGCTCCGCTATGTTTCTTCGCCTCGCATTCGAGTACAAGTCAAATATTGAATACACATCCCCATTGTCATGCGCCCAAATTCAAATACGAGTCGGATGGTATGTGTTGCGCTTCAGTAAAAGTGAAACTTCTTGAAATTGAGACACAACCGGAACCATTGAATAGCTCATTGTTCATTGGCACGGAGCCAGCGTTAAATCTGTTTCTAAAGTTTATCTTCTTCCAAGATACATCTTGGAAAAAAGTTTAGTTGTATATTTATCATACACCTAGAACTAGGCTTACTATTAAAGGTCCGTTGTGATGCCGCATGGATGTGCCCATACTCACTGCATAAACCGCGCAACTTATTGCAATTAAGGAACAGTCGCATCCGGTGGCTAGTCAGGGCAAGCCCTAGCCCGAAGCACTTGTACCTTAGTCTGAGCTTACAGCTATGGCTCCCGAATGACACTAGCCAGTGGTTCACAAAACCAAATTTCTGCGACTGCCACGAAGAAGCCGCTAGGGATCCGGAATACAATTGTAGCATAGTGTGGGTGGGTCTATTTGGAAAACTTTAATTTTGGTTCCTTTTGAACCCTTCTATCTTGAAAAAAATGACAAAAAACAAACCTCCAAAAAAACAAAAAATTCTCTCCGCATTTTGGATTTTGAATCTTTCGAGCCTGTTATATTTCTGGATTCAATATGCTTTTCACCACAACCATGCCTCTGCCCAATGACTAATAAAGAAGCTGGAATTGAGCAATTATGTAAAAGGCCAATGTGAGCAGAACAAAACCGAAAAAGATAAGGAGTTCTCGGATTCTTTTACGAAGAATGCCAAAAAAGTGGAAAAGCTGCACATTCAGTCGATTATCCAAAAATAAGACGGCAATTATTTAGGATCCGATATAAAGCCTCGACTTCTTGCGACGACAAATGTGTCAGTACTTAGCGTTTTGAAAGGCATTTAAGGCTGCAGAAATTCTGAATGAATTTATCCATTCAATGTTTAATGACGAGAGCTTAACGCACAGCATGTCTCGTTTAAATAATACTGTGCACTACTGTTTTTATATGTCAAAAACCTCTGCTAAGAATAAAAAGAAAAACCACATATAGAAATAAATCTTGTTATATTATGCTTATGAATATGCATTATATGTATACGAAATTTTAGGAAAAAATCCCTTGGTGCTGAATTCAATTTTTTGTTTTGATTGAAAAATTAATTAGTTTTATTTTAAAACCTATAACAAAGATGGCAACCATAAAATAAGCAAACAAAAATTGTTTTTGCTCCTTTTGGTTAGAGCGTCTTCCGGGTATAACGACGTAAGACTTACTCTGTTAAGACCGGTAAAATTTAGTCTGCGATGTTGGCAGACGTGTATAAATATACTTACCACCCGGCTGCCAACATCGCAGACTAAATTTCTCTGATACTAAATTTTGTGTTTGACAGTACGGCTGAATTAAGTTACGGTTAAGTATCCTTCCTTTGCCCTGGACTTTGGTTTTAACGTTTCGGTCCGGATGGATACCAAACATCCCGAACCAAGAATCCCCCCAATGCCGTTGGTGCATGCTCTTTGTCTTCAGTCGCATTGTTCGGACTTATTCGCCTTAAATTATCCATTAGGTTCGTCGTGTTTTCTGCTGTTTTCAGACATTTTCCAAAGTAATTACAAAATTCCGCTTTGCCTATCACTCGATCGCTTAAAATTCTGCCAAACATTAGAGCAGTCACGCTGATTTTTGTAAAGTCCAGCCTCGCAGTTTTTTTTATCTTCCTGTAATATAGAAATAATATATGTATTTAATTGAAATCATAGAATACGTAAATTCTCGAAATGCATATACATATGTATTTGAGTGCATGTGAAAAAAGCACATGGGCCTTTGTTTATCATTGAAATTCGTGAATTACTTACTCTTGAAATGTTTATCTATCGCTTAATAATTTTACTTTTGCCAACACATCCAAACTAACCAATTAGCCTTTTAAGGCTGTTTTATCAACGAAAATTTAAAGGATCCAACATGCTTCTTCTCCTTCTATTTTCTTTAGTTTTTTCTTTTATAGAAACGGGACAAGACATAAAAACTAAACATCGATGTTTTGCCACATACAATCGATGTTTAAAGAATGGGAAAAACATCCTGGTCCTTACGTGTTTGTTCTTGGTCTCAATGCACCGGCCTCTGGATGTCCTAGGTAAAACAACGCTTGCTTGTTTCTACTTCTTCACCCCTTCCGGCCTTCTGACGATTTTCCGGTCCTGCGACCGAGTCGTTTTCATGTTGTAGGTTTGGTATCTGCGCTGTGCCTCCAGGCTACGCCCAGTTTTCCCCGACCCTTTAAAAATCTCTTGGTCACTCATCAACCACTTTTTACAATCTACCTACACCTCTCCTTCGACAAATCCCTATTTAATCACCTATGTATAAATTTATTTAAACTAAATCTACATTAATATGTTGGTGGTTATGAATTAGTGAACTGTATAATTTTTAATATGTTTTATTTAATTTATTTAGTGATTATTTAATATCGGCGGTTATATATACATATATGAATAGAGGGTTGATTTGCGGCGGTACAGCGATATGCGGGCGGGTGGTTGTGACTCTACTTTTCTACTAACTTGATCTCCACGTAAAGAAGTAGTGCAAAAGGGATGTATGCGTGTGCAGCTGCGGGCTTTGTCTATACGTGTGATAACGTTACATTTATGTTTGAGACACAAGCAGTAACAACACAGCTAAGCGGCTGATGATGCAAATGCGACTAATTTCTCAATAGTTGGTGATAAAATATTTTGGTATTCTAAAAATTTACGAGATGAGAGACAACTGTAACTTATTGTTGCTGCAAGTGAGCACACCCCATCTTTTCCTCTCGCTAGTTATATTCGCTGTCTTTTTTTAATGTGCCAAATCACCTCGCAATTTTCTTTCCAGATCGTCGTGACTCTCTGGAATCGGGCAACGATGCGAATGCCCACACGGCAATACACAGATCACAGCTCGAAAAATCCACTGCTAAATCTACGGGTACTCCTCGAGTCGGGCAGTGACGCTGAATACCATCTGGCAAAACATGGTCCAAAACTCTGAAAACACCCTGCCTTCTCTTGGTTCTCTCTTGGCTCAAATAGTTCAAACTGCGAGAATTCCTTTTTCATTTAAAGCATCATTATGCTTACTGATGTAAACCAAATATAAAAAAAAAAACTTCTCATAATCATTCGAACCATTCTTAGGTTGTTTAGTTGCCATCTAAATGAAAATTTCTTTTATGTCCATGCCATTCGCAATACATTTATTTTGACTGCAGCCAAGTACAGCAAAACGCCAATAAAACGATATATTTCAACTACAGTGACCTAAAGCTCTGCTGCTCTATTTTGCAATGCAAAGTAATTGGTTTTATTACAGATTTGTTGCCAAATTTCATCATCGAAGTACTGGTAAAAGAATGATATTGATTCCTTGGTCAGTGAACCATAGATGACTCTTTGCCATACATTTTTTGCTTCCTTTTCATTTAAAATATTTTTTCTCCATCCCAAAGTATCCCGATTTATTTTTTCGAAAATTTGCTGCACTGTTTCATCGCTAATCGTAGGCCCGCGATCATTGTCATCGCCCTCAATCCTCTTCAGCAATGCATCTTCAATAGTGTTTCCTTTTGCAATGACATCTTGCATTGTGTTTTCTATAATAATTTCAAATGTGTCAGGTTTGCCTTTATCCTCTCCATTTTCACCGCAATTTTCATCTTTCCAATCATCCCACTCAAATCGGAAAATACGTTCAATACGGGAAGAAATATTGCTAAAAATTGCTAAAAATTGTGTGAAAATTGCCAAACCTTGAATATGTTCATTTAAGAGCGAATGCTTTTTGAGATGCCTGCTGAATGAAAAGAATGGGACAGGCCGTGCGAACTCGTCAGATGGTTAGAGCGACAAAAGCTCATCCATGCGCTCAATGAACGCTTAACAGCTGAAAGAATTTTCTGCTTCTTCATTTGCATGTCCTCTTGGTAGTTCTTGGTAACAGCTTCCGAGTCGAATCCCAAGAACTGTAAGCTCAGTTTTCTTTAAGACGCTTTCATTTTAACGATTATTAGATTAGATCGAGATTACGAGATTTAAGCCGGCGGTTTGTCAAGACAATTAAATATCAGACCAGTGTGCCAGACAAACGATTAACGCGGAATTAGGAAGAACTGAGAGGAGAGCGGGTATAGAGCGCCGACTCGTTTCGATTCCTTGGTGGCTAGGAACCCAATAGAACCGCCCTGACAAGCAGGGAGACACAACAAAGACTCTTCTGCAACTGACCGCGGATGACTGCATGGATCTTACCGCCGCTTGGCGGTCAACGAATAGGTTGACCACATCGTTTGCTTGTTCTGTAAGCTGAGCAACCTACACTATCTTGATAGCGAAGACTTCCTGGAATATGCTGCATCGGTACCGTAGCTTGCATGCCAGCCTTATATCGGGGTCTATACAGTATAAGCCCGCTCATACTCCTCCATCTATCTTAGAGCCGTCTATATATATATTGAGGTGCTCAATCTGGTCCCTTCTCTTTTTCCAGTAGTCCAATAGTCGATGCAAGTTTTTGCGGTCTGTCTTGTCCGCGTTGATACAGAGTGCTACTTCTTTCGGCTATTCACATATCTCTCGGAGTGTGGTTTCCATTATGGAGCTAAGGGTCGATGGTTCATACAACCGAAAATCCTTTGAAATCAGTTGATGAAGTCGGCGACCACCTAATTACACGGGAGGGACTCCACCATGAGGAGTGCTTCTGTGTGACCCATTTACCATTGAAACGGTTCCCCACTCTGATTGCACCCGTCTACAGCTTGAAAAGTTCTTTTTCCAGAGGTTGATTGCTGTGTGTGCGGGGCGATCTATGGGCTATATTCCCATCTGCATTGGATAGGGATATAGCCCATACTTAGACATGCTGAGTATATTGCGGGAAGCCAAGGGGTAATCACCTGGGAATGTTCCATACAGTCTAGACGCTTTTATGCCCGCGAAGGAGTCTATAGTCCAGTGGAGTCTCTTAGAGGTTATCAGATCAGTTGGGGATGTTGTTCCTGGATTGCTAGTTCCTAATGCTTTTTTGCATCAGTGACCTCGGTGCATCCAGGAAAATGGACCTACATTAGTTCTGTTTGTATTCCTCGTTGATAACCTTTGCTCGCTTGTTTGGCGATCTTAAAGAATTCCTTGAGGTTGTTCCTTTATAATAAAAGATCCCGGTTCCGATTTTTCCGGTTTGCGCTATGCGTGGTAGGCATCCAGTAATTCCTTGGATAGAGTCTCTATGGACTTCTCTTTATCCTTCGTAGATTTCACTGAGCCCGGATTCCGCACTTGAATGGAATGTACTTCTGATCTGAGAAGGATGGTCTTCAAGGACTCTCGAGCCAGATACCAAAGTAATCCCCAGTTACGAGTGATAGGTCTAGCAAGTTTGACGAGGTGGCACCTACGAAGGTGTGTTCCTCCCCCACTTTTGCTACATATGTCTAAGTTAGTTGATAATATAAAGTCTAGGAGTGACTCACCTCTGTCACTGATGTCGGGGCTTCCCCACACATTGTGGTGGGCATTTGCGCCCGTACCAATAAGAAGTTGACGGTTTTTAGATCCGGCTTCTGTCACCAGACTCCTTAGTTAGTAGGGTTGTGCGGGCCTGTCGTGTGCCATGTAGCAAGAAACGGTTTTCCTCACTTTCCAGCATCACTACTGGCAGGTCATCCGTGCTATAAAGAGACATAAGGTGAGCATGGATTCCCTGTCGTACGAGTACGGCGGTTCTGTTCCTGCTTACCGATATTGAGTAAAATAGATTGTAGTTTGAGGACCTTAGTCCAGCCACTAAATTGCCTGACGCAATCCACCACTCCTGGACTAAAGCTACGTCAGCGGGCTCTTGCTCCATGGCAATAAAGAGTTCCGCCAACGCTTTCTTGCTTTTATGCAAGTTGAGCTGCAGCACAATCAGCGTCATGGATGGCTGGCTCTCTTACACTCGACGGGTTGACTACTATCGTCAGGTCACCATCCTCCTCTTCCTCAGAGTCTTCCACCGCAAGACCCTGGGCGACCTCGACGGTCGTTTCCAGACCTAGGTCCTTCTCTACCTCGCCCGCCTGCAAGGTGTGCGAATCATTGTCACCGGGGTGGCGCTTCTTGAGGCGCAGGTATACACTACCCATGCCCCAGGCCATCTTCCCGAATCTGGGGTAGAGTAGATCCTCCGCTTCCTTATTGATTTGGAGGATGATACACTGGCCACCCTCGTTGGGTAGCGGGCTCCCAATGTGGAGGATCCTCCAGTTCGCCGTTGGCACATCTGCGTTCTGCCGCTGTAGGAGCTTCAACGCACGGTCCCCTTGGATTGCAATGGGGAAAAGTACCTTCGCTTTTGGTATGGATGGGATTAGCTCCCTGTCTACGACCTCTAGCTTGGCCCCCTTCCACATTGCTTCCATTTGGCAGACCGTTTTATTAGCCACCTAAGTGTTGGATCGTCGTTACACTTCAGGATTTTCACCCCATTTAGCCACCCAGCACCATCGAAAGTAGGCATGGGGGATGCCGGATCTTCCTCCATCCGTTCGAACAGTGAGTCAACGAGCCGCGCGTGCACCAACTTCCACTGCGCCGCCGTCATCTTCCCGTTTTCGTCGCTCCGGTCAATGAGCGCCACGATCAAGTGTCTCTTGTACACGTTGCTGACCTTTGCTTTCGTCTTGGGCTTCTTCGCCGGTTTCGGTGGAGGGGCTACGCACTCATGCCCGCTTTTCCGCTTACTCGCCGGAGAGTCCTTGACGGTACACTCAGTCGAGCGTTTTTTCTTGGCGGCCAGCATCTCCTCGACCTTGTTTGCGAATCCACCATTCGCCGCCTGCATCTGTGGCAGCTGCGCGTAGTGCCTGCGACCGTCCTCTACCTGTTGCTCTGCCCAGGCTAGCCTAGATTTCTCCTCTTGGGAGAGATCTGCCTTTCCTTGAAGCCGGCTCAGTAATTTGAGGGCCGCCTTGTACTGAGCTTTCGCCTTCATCCCCTCCCTGGAACGCTTCGGCCCTTCCCTGCGCTGGGAGCTGCTACCTGGTTCAGGCGAGCGTAGGATGTCTTTTTCGGTTTTTCTTATTGATAGCACGCTCCCCAGGTCCGAGTCTGTCTCGACAGCAGCACCCGCGCATCTAATCTTGCAGCGAGTCGTTTTTGTGGCAGTAGTATTACAACTGACGTGGCCTGCTCCCGCCACGTCCAAGGTGTGACCGCTGGCGACACGCAGAGAGGATTGCTCCTCCCCGTGCCCGCCGGTGGTAGCAGCCACGCTTTCCACCGACGTTTGGGTTGACATCCCAACCCGTGTTTGCTGCTTTTCCCACTCCATTGCTGGCCCGAAGTCCATACGTAGTTGATATTTTTCGGGAGAACCACCCCCTAGCGTTTTATGCCTACCCGCCAGGCACCTCTAGCCATGGCCCTGGCTCAGTTCCCCCGAGACGAGATCGGGAAGACGCTAGACCAATGCCTTTGCTAGACACTGCATTACCGCGGACAGAGCAAGCGACAATGCATTACACTTGTCCGAGATAATGCAGTGCCCATTGCCCAGCCGGCACCCTCGTGGAGGGTTCAGCTAGAGGATTTTTGCCAGCCACTTTAAATTCAAATAAAAAAAACATTCTTAAAAAGGTGGAACAAATGCAATTTAAAAACTCAAGTTTGTAACGCAAGTGTTTAGAATCGAAAAACAACAAAACTTCTTATATTTATCTGATAAAAAATAACCCATGAAATATTTTCATTAAAAAAGTTAAAAAAAAAAATTCAACAAATACATGACTTATTGATGCATTGATATAAATTTGACGCCATTACCAGGGCAATTTAGCCTTCTTTATAAATAATTTTTTCAGCTGACGCACCACGATTTGGTTATCGAAACATTGGCAATAAATATTTTTACGCATAACAGCACAGATGTGCGCGTTACAGCTCAGTAACATCTGGGTAAAGACAGACCAATTTAATTTTTTATATACATGCTGTTATTCACAGTTCGTCAGACATGTTGAAAACACAGGTGTTTCCTCTAAGATGTCTTGATCTTCTTACATTACGTACAAAAAAGCAACCAGGTTAGCTGATCTTGTCTGCCAGAATTGATCAGAAAACATATCGATAACACAAATTTGTGAAAACTGGAGCACGTAAAAACGAAAACGAAACGTTTTGCCGAAAACGAAACGCGAAAAAGTAAGTGAAAACCGGAGCCTGACTGATTGTGTGTGTTACACTAACACATGCAAAGCGCCGCTGGGCTGGCTGGCACATTTTGACGCGACGGGAACCGAATGTCAGAGCCGAAGACCTTGGCAGACAAGACAGAAAGTTCGTTTGCGGCATATTTACTGACACATATACTGTATGGTTAGTGGTTAAACATAGAACTCCGACCCGGAAAGAAGTTACACAAACAAATTCAATGTTGTTGAAACCGATGATAAATTTCTGTAGAACCTGTTTGTTAGCGGCTGTACACCACCAGTACTCAGCTAAAAAAAGGAAATACCGATTAATACTAGAAAATCTGCAAAAAGTATGTGATAGTAGAGCCGTGCATAAAGCCATAAAGCAAAATTTTGCGACCACGATTTGGCCGAAATTCGCAAGAATTGAATATTGGGTGCTCCAGTTTCCGCAATATTTTCTTATTGATAATGCTTCTGTTTTTCTTTAAAACATTAAAAAAATTTAGTTAGCTATACCTTCCTATTAAAAATCGCAGTATTTGTAAAATTCATGAATTATAGAACAAATGACATCTGTACCCTTATGAAAACTATTAAAATCGATATTTTATTTGTTAAAGAAAATTCGCAAATTTTTCTTGTTTAAAACAAAATTAAAAAATTTCAATTATGAACATATATGTATTAAACTTAAAACAGACGCACTTGTTTTTATACTATTTTTCCGCAAGTCCATTACCCACCGTTTTTAACCCGTAAGAATCTTACGATTTGCTAAAACTATTTTCGAATTCAGAGTGGAGTCTTTGAGTATTCTGAGTTCAACACTAAAATGGACGGCAACAAACAGAAACCAAACAAGCATATAGTGCAATTTATAACGGCGGTCGATCAGAGGTCGTTCCACAAGAACGAATTTATCCAATGTTGCGGTTCTTCATTCGTGTATCATCGCCCCAGCTCCCACAAATAATACATTCCTGCTTGTCTTCATACAAAATTTCAATTTCTTACTGATTTAATTTGTAAACAAACACATAATATTGTAGCTGTAGGGTAGGGCATGCACATCTGGTCTCACTCGACCGCTTACAAAATAGTGCGTTTGGCTTGAAAAACTTTTTTAGGATCCAAGATCTCTGCTTTGTAATCGGTTCAGGCGTTTTAGAGTTATTAAAATAGTAGTTTACAAAACCATCTTATATATATATAAAGAAGATAAAATATATAATGAAATATGTATTTACGTACGTCTACAACGATTTTAGTGTGAACATGCGACTATGCTAGCCGTGAAGTGTAGTGAAATACGATTTTTTTAGTATTAAACGTATTAAACTAAAAACTAACACCGTCTATCGATAGGAATATCGATTGTTTTCTCTCTCTCTCTCTGTCTCCTCCTCCTCTCTCCTAACCGTCTTCTTCTTCTGTGTGCTCTGTGTATGTGAACTTTATGCAATTTAATTAAAAAATCGAACAAACGGAAATTGGAAATTAAAGTGAATTCGAAGTGCCAAACAAATTATACTCTGAATGGACACAATCAAATGATTATGAAATGCAAAGATGTAAAGCTCAACGCTTTTGCGTGCATAGAAAATGACCGCAGCAGGGGAAACCAGTCATTAAATAAAAGAAACGCATGAAGTAAAAATGCTTATTTACTCGAAAATTAAAAATATCCGCGCTGATAAGTTAGAAAACATTAACTAATTGCAAAATGTAAGCTGCTGAATCGAAAGAATTCTATATATATATATGAATTAAGCATTTTTTATTTCTTTGTGTATGCGTGTGTTTGTGTGTGTACATACTCTTCTTTTTCCTGTTTTTTTTTTGTCCAAGTGAAAATGGCAACTGCCACCAAATAGAAAAACGGATTAAACTTGCTTAAATTAGAATTGTGTAATACTTGCCATAGCACTTAGCAAAAAAATTGCCAGAATTGATCTGTTACAAGAGCTGGCGCACTGCAACCAACCGACATATGTACATTGTAGTTGCACATATTTATTTGCTCTCCGTGTACCACTGCATATGTGACTGCAACTTTTTAATATGCAGAAACCAATTTACGCTGTGATACTGTATAGAAATAACGCAGAATTGTTCAGCGATTTACATCGTTGCAGATATTTCGCACATCCATATTAACAAATGCCATCGCATTGAGGCCATTATTTTTTGTGTTGTGTCTGACCAAAAACAAACAAACATTAAATAAAGAATCGAAAAAATAAATGCGGAGAGTAGCCCAAAAAATACTTTTTTAAGGTAATTGTTGTCCCGAAAGGAATATACAATGTAAAACAACAACCGACCAGCAAGCGAATGTAGATAATTACGTATCTATGCGCATACATACTCGTATGGATGTATGACCACGCTAGTTTGTATTTGTAACCCGTCTTTGTGAGAGCGACATGGCAGCTCTTTGTGCAAGTCTGTGCTCGGGAAAATAAGGCGTGTTTCTACAAAAAAAAAAAATGATGGGCAACAAACAAAAAGACTAACAAATGCTCCGAAGTGAACAATTTAAATTCATTCGTGTAGCTTCAAGATTGATTTCCAAAGGTTACTCTATCGGCAGCGCGAATGGTCAAACGCACGCCCCCACATCCGAGCACTTCGTATTCGGTGTGTGCGTGTGTGTGTGTATGTGTGTGTATATTTTTTTTTTGTTTTTGCATCTGCAACATGGCCAAACGCAACCCTTTTTATGAAGTTCCTCCGCTCCGCTCCGCTCTGCTCCGCTCCGTTCCGTTCCTCTTGTCAACGTATAATTACGTGCCCCATCGCATCTATTCAGAACTATACAATGTGGAGGCATATGGCCGCTAGCCGGTCACGTGTGTACTCCACGCCTTACCTTTCTATTCAATGCAATTACCGACCGACGTTTCCAAAAGGGTTTATTGTTGGGCAAAATGCATCGGTATTCAATTTTAAAAGCGCCGCAACGCTTCAGCAGTCCGGAATAACACACACAAAAAGACAAAAACACATAAATCCAATAATGAAAATATTATTGATAAGTGTGGCGTGCAGTGGAAGATGTATGCCCGCATGTGTGCGAAAGACTTGAGTCACTTGATTTGAGTCACTTGCACACGTGAAAGACACCAAAATTGGGAACTGCTACCTTTTGATTGGGTTGATATCCCAAATGTGTTTCCTCTTCTTCAGCTCTTCAGTTCGCGCTGATAAGGCTAGTGACTGAAGCGCAGTAAAATCAGGGGAACAAAGGGCAAGCTACAATGATATTCAGTTCATCCACACAGGGAGGGGGTGCGATTTTGTTCTCCATATTTGTTGTTTAACCATTTTTACCCATTTTTTTGCAGAAATATATAAACAGCTCGAGTAAGGGAAAGCCGCGCAAGGAAGGAACCATTTTGAGCGAGTTGGAGCTGGGTGAGCTGGAGCATGATAGACAGCTATGCCTTCGGTACGCCCTGGTAGTCTTAAAGATCCGGAAATAGCCGATCTATTCAACAAGCATGATCCGGAGAAGATCTTTGAGGACTTGCGCGAGATCGGCCATGGATCGTTTGGTGCCGTTTACTATGCCCGCTGCAATCTCACCAAGGAGATTGTGGCCATCAAGAAGATGTCGTATACGGGCAAGCAGAGTCAAGAGAAGTGGCAGGACATCCTCAAAGAGATACGGTAAATGTGTAATTCAATTTTAAGACTCGCTAATCCATGGAAACCCCCCAATCCCATACAGTTTCCTACGTCAATTGAATCATCCGAATACCATTGAATACAAGGGTTGCTACCTGCGCGAGTCGACCGCCTGGCTCGTGATGGAGTACTGTGTGGGTTCCGCCTCGGATATTATCGAGGTGCACAAGAAGCCCCTGCACGAGGACGAGATCGCCGCCATCTGCCTGGGGGTGCTCAGTGGCCTGAGCTATTTGCACTCCCTCGGTCGCATCCACCGGGACATTAAAGCTGGGAACATCCTGCTAACGGACAACGGTATCGTTAAGCTGGCCGACTTCGGTAGTGCGGCCATCAAGTGCCCCGCCAACAGCTTCGTCGGCACCCCCTATTGGATGGCCCCCGAGGTTATCCTGGCTATGGACGAGGGCCAGTACGACGGCAAGGTGGACGTGTGGTCTCTGGGGATCACCTGCATTGAGTTGGCTGAACGAAAGCCGCCCTACTTCAACATGAATGCCATGTCCGCACTCTATCACATTGCCCAAAATGAGTCGCCGACGCTTCCGGTAAGTGAAACGTCCTCAGAAGTGCGGAGAATAGACACAGACATAGGATCTGTTCGATAGACTTGAAGTATGTACAAAGAATGTGGGGTCCCCAGTATCTGCCACTCTCGTTTCGGTCGTATCTGGCGTATCCTGAAGCCCAGAAGGGTCGGAGCGCTTGGCGTTCTAGTGGGGCAGAGCGAGCGTGAGATCTGAAAGTCGGGGCCGAGTTCCACTGCCTGTCCGCCCTCGTCCCCGCACGGCATGGTGTGAGAAACACGCTGCCCCGAACACTTTCGCCAAAGCGCCAGGGCACCTAGATGACGTCTGTATCTACCGTCCTGTCGTCCAGAAGCCACAGCAGGTCCGCCGATGCACACTTGAGTGAGGCAAGGGATCTTGGCGACCGCTACCCTTGTCTAACGTGTGCAAGTTCTGGTTCTTACTCAATGCCAGTGTGGTCTCCTCCGTAATGAGAGGAACCCACAAGGTTTTCAATCTTTCTGCTGGGAAACTGGTCTGTGGGGACGACACTGAGGCAGCTCCTGGCCAGCCTCTCGTGCTTCTTCTTGTGGCTTCGGTCCCACATGGTCTGCGTATTGGGGGTCGAAGGTCTTAGCCAGCTCTGCGTCCGACACTGAGGAACCTATGAGGAGCAAGCTTTCGTCCCTGCTTACCGGCTGCAGTTCAACCATGGTCTCCCCCATAGAGGCTTTAAGTAGGGAAGATTTAGATTGAAATTGGAGAAGGAAGGCTTGTCCACAAAATGACAATAATTTACAAATTTCCTTCCTGCTTCAGAAGAATGACTGGTCAGATGCGTTCTGTAGATTCGTCGAGCTGTGCCTGAAAAAGATGCCTGCGGAACGTCCTTCTTCGGAAGAGCTCTTGATGCACGAGTATGTGACACGACCGCGCTCCGATACGGTCCTGCTGGAACTAATAGCCCGCACCAAGTCTGCCGTGCGCGAATTGGACAACCTCAACTACCGCAAGATGAAAAAGATACTCATGGTGGACACGTGCGAGACGGAGAGCGCCGTGGGCGATGCCGATGACCAGCAGGACGATCATGTGGGCGGTGACAGCAGCAAGAGCAATAGTATTACTTCGGAACACTCCATACACTCTGTTGGTGTATCGGCAGCAAGTAGTCAGGTATGCCTATTCACAGCCCCACTGTCCGTAGTTCTGGTCGGAGCTCTGATCATTTGCATGCGTCCTCTTGCAGAGCTCTTCTTCGAATTCCATACCGGCTGCAGCACAGAATCATCACCATATCGCTGCGCACCACCATCAGCAGGCGGCTTCTGCCGTGGCCGTGGCCGTGCATCATCACTATCATTCACAGCAGCCGCAGCCGCAGCCCATCAGACTAAGTGGTGGCGGCGTCGGCGGCGGACAGCAGCAGGCGGTACCAGTCGGAGCCGCTTCGCGGAACTCATCGCGACACCGCAATCGACCGCCGTTGCCCATCATGCACACCATGAACAACAATGTGACGCCAACGAACTCGGCATCTGTGGTGCCAGCGCCCGCCCCGACGCTTTCCGTGATCACGCATATTAGCGGAATGGGACTTGGCACCGGAGGCAGCAGTGGAGGGTCGCCCGCCTCCGGCTCCGGCTCCGGCTCTGGCGCTGATCGTATGCCACCCATCGTGTGCCAGCCGCGCTATCTAACAACTCCTGCCGCCCAGGCAGCCGTTTACGCGGCCTCTTCGGCATCCTCGCAGCAAGCCATCTCTAATGCGGTCAACGATCACGGCCCCAACAACTTTGCCACCATACGCACCACCAGCATTGTCACCAAGCAGCAGAAGGAGCACATGCAGGTGCGTTTTCATCTTTTCCCCTATCTGTCCTCCTCCTCCCCGCTCCCGCGGGCGGGTACGGCGCATACTCTGATTACATTCAATCTTTAACCACGATCATTCTCCTCTGTGTTCCCAATAGGAGGAAATGCACGAACAAATGTCGGGCTACAAACGGATGCGACGCGAGCATCAGGCTCATCTCGTGAAGCTCGAGGAAAAGTGCAAGGTCGATATGGAAGCGCACAAGACAGCCCTTGACAAGGAGTACGACACTCTGCTGCATAACTTCACGAGGGATCTCGAACGGCTCGAGGTAAGTAAAGCAGCAAATGAACCCTCTGGGCCGTAGTGATAGCGAAAACGATTGCAGAATAGGCACCAGCAGGACGTGGAGCGTCGGGCAAAACAGACTAGCGCAGCCGAGAAGAAACTACACAAAGAGATTACTCTGAAGCAGGACGGCGATCGCAAGGTGTTCGACTTGAATCGCAAAAAGGAATACAAAGCGAACAAGGAGCGCTGGAAACGCGAGCTCTCCATGGACGACTCAACGCCGAAGCGGCAGCGTGATCTTACCTTGCAGTCGCAGAAGGATAATCTGAAGCAGCACGAGGCGCAAGAAGAGCAACGCATGCTACAGGCACAAAAGCAATATATCGAGCTCGAAATGCGCAAATTCAAGCGGAAGCGCATGGTTGTGCATCACGAACATGATGATCAGCAGTTACGAGACGTAAGCATGACACAGACAAGTGGCAGGTCTGTCACTGGCAGTAATAGTGTCCTTAATAGTGTCCTCCCTCTCAACCCCCACCTTACAGGAGCTCAGCAAGAAGGAACAGCAGCTAGAGCAAGCGCATGCCATGCTCTTGAAGCACCACGAAAAGACACAGGAACTGGAGTATCGCCAACAAAAGAGCGTGCATCAGCTGCGAGAGGAGCAGGTGAGACATTCTAAGTGGCAGCGTCCCAACCATCCAGTCAATGTACTAAGACAAATCTTTCTTTCCCTCCGCCGTGGAGATAAACAAGCAACACGACACGGAGTTGCACAATCAAAAAGACTATATGGATCGCATTAAAAAGGAGCTGCTGCGCAAGCATGCGCTCGAGTTACGACAACAGCCCAAAAGCCTGAAGGTATGCATAGCCTCCTGATTCCCAATTGAATCACTAAACGTTTATACTCTGGTCCTTGTAGCAAAAAGAGCTGCAGATACGTAAACAGTTTCGGGAGACTTGCAAAACGCAAACGAAGCAATACAAACGTTACAAGGCTCAAGTTCTGCAAACGACACCAAGAGAACAACAGAAGGAAGTCATCAAACAGCTGAAGGAGGAGAAGCATCGGAAGCTTACGCTGTTGGGTGAACAGGTCAGTAAACAGCTCCAGCCAAAGAGCCATCTATTTGATGCTGTCCATTCGATTTTAGTATGAACAAAGCATTGCGGATATGTTTCAAAGTCAAAGCTACAAACTGGACGAAAGTCAAGTGATCGAGTGCCAACGTACCAATGAGCAATTGGAGTACGAACTAGATATGCTGACCGCCTATCAGAACAAGAACAAGAAACAAGCCCAGGAACAACGGGATCGTGAGCGTCGTGAGCTGGAGAATCGTGTCAGCGTACGGCGGGGTCTTCTCGAGAACAAGGTTTGCATGGCCTACAAGATCCGTGTTTTTTGTACCTTTACCTGTATCCGTACCTCTACTTTTAGATGGATGCCGAGTTGCAGCAATTCAATCAGGAACGCGCCGAGCGCTTGAGAATGAAACATGAAAAGCATGCTAGAGAATTGGAAGCATTTGATAACGAGTCACTTGCTTTAGGTTTCAGGTAACTTATTTTGATTTCATTGAGCCTAATCGATAGCACAATTGCATTCATTCAATCCATTCATCGTAAATCTCGGTCTTGCAGCTCTTTATCGCTCACTGAGGTATCCCGTGAAGCCTATCCAGATGACGAAGCAAGTCTGTCTGGATCTATGATTAGTTTAGCCCATAGCAATAGTTCAACAAGCTTTCCAGCTGGTTCGCTATAGCATAGACAACATCTTCATCATCAACAACAACAACAACAACAGCAGCAGCAGCAACAACAACAAGAGCAAGAACAATGGAAACAAAAGAAAGCGTTAATTAATATGAGCTATTTAAATTTTAATGCAATTATAAAGCGAACACAAAAACAACAGCATAATAGAAATCCGACATAAGTAACAAGAACTGCAGATAACACTGTAACAATAACACAAAAACAATGATGACACTTGTCACTTGTTTTTGTAGTAACAAAAGTAAAGTAAAACAAAACAAAACAAAACAAAAACAGCTACTTATTAATATTTACAAAAGGCAGAAGGAAGCTGGCATAGTTTTGTATTAAGATGAAATCGATTCACGAGAACATCAACAGAAATAAATAACAAAAAATTTCATAAATCGAAGTAAAATTATAAAATTTAGCTGCATAATTACAAACTTAAGCTCAAAAGTCAACCACAAATAATAACACAAGCTGAAAAATCAAACAAACAAGAAAACCAACAAAAAGTATGTATGCTGAGTGCATAAGTTTAATTAGTATTGATATTACTGGACAATTGAATCAATTCATAATTTGTTGTGTTACCCATTTCTGCTTTTTTTGCACTGCAAAATTGTCGTGAATTCGCATCGTCGGATTGCCCTTGCATTTGAATGTTTCGATTTGTAAATGTTTCTTTCAATTCATTATAGTTAACCCGAAGAGTTTACGGACATTGTACCTCCATGTCATTTTTGCATGTTAGGTTCAATATTTTCGATCTGTGTGTGTATGTTGTTCTTTTTCATTTGGCTGGATACATGCAAAAATTTATTTTTGATAACAGATAATACATGTATTTCATCTTTTTTTTTTGTTGAACAAGAAGTCTTATGGCCAAATTTTGTATAGACGAAATGCAAAGAGTTATGTTTTATTTACCATTTATTTTTGTTTTAACAAAAAGGATATTAAATACATAAACTAAATATTCTTATTTTAGAGTTAATGCAAAGTGCTTAGTCAAAACAATAAAAATTGTATAGAAAATTAGACCGTATAAATGTTTAATTATTTAAAGAACTATTTTTTTGGGGAAGTATATTCGATCAGTTGTTAATCTGAGTTGAGACACGCATCAATCGCACACACTCTCGTCTGCGACCATACAGCAGCAAAGGAAAGAAATGAAAACTAACTAATACATATACGAGTACATTTGAAAATTACACTTATTGTAGCAATTAAATTTCCAGTATAAACTATACAATTATGAAATGAGCCTACAACATTTTCCGTTAGTAATTATTTAAAACACATAGAATACAAATTCATATGATTAATTAGAGATAGACACAAATATGGACGGACAGAGACAGAGACGGAGACAGAAAGACGAAAGACAGATGAACATGATTTGTTAGATAATATGATGATGATCGTGATTATTATTTCGGAGGTGTATTGCATCCAACTACACAGCTGGATAATTACTTTTGTATGTATTAATCAACCAGATTAATATTCAAAATATGATTATTATGATAAAAGAAGGAAATGGAACACATGGAAATGAGAGAAAAAGAGATAGATAAAGAGCAACATGGGGAACTTAAACCATATGTAATATTTTCTATATCTGTAAAATGGATTAATTTTATATTATAATTATTATTATATAAAAATAAATTGTATTTTTGCATTTATGGTAAATGAGAAACGGAAAAGAAACAAAAATCAATTTGATGCACGTCGATGTCTATAAAATACCACTTATTTAAAAATACACAAGCATTTCTCAATTTTGGTCAGTGGGGTCGCAGACAGCACACCTGGAAGCACCAGCGCACCAGAGGTCGATGCCACAGTCGGCAAAATACAAATTCAATAGCATAGTGTCTTAAGTGTTGATAGAATTCTGGTTGCCAATGTTAGCTCTAGTAGTGTGAGCAGCGGCGGCAAAGGCCGCGGCTCTACTTTGTACCCGGTACACAGTCAGTATGGCTTCCCTCCGCTAGATGGCGCACACTGCACGTGAGAGAGAGAAAAGCAAGCGCGTGAAAGGCGTTGCGTAGCCACAGATTCGTCAATCTGCATTTAGTTTAGTTTTCTCGTATCTTTAATCGTACCACAGATATTCGTCCTTTGTGGGGGCTATAAAAGGCGGGACGAAATTTTGATGGACGATATCACAGAAGTCTGGATACAGAAGAAACAATTTTTTATTTACATTTTTTGTACTTAAAGTTGAATCATTAACTTCCTTAGAAAAATATAATTTCATAAATAATTCAGCCACGTCACGATTTTATAATCAACCAGTCGCAATGCTGTTCTGAGTTCAATCCCAGTACCCAGTCAGTAAATATGTAATATGATGATTTGTGCAACTTAGGCAATATATTTGTGTACTTCCTATATGCTATTTCCACAGTTGCAGTTTGCACATTCCGATACATCTCCCTCTCTCGTTCTTCGCATCCAACGAATCAGCCTTAGACCGTTGTATCTGGCTCACTTCGGCAGGGGCGTACACTGGAGGAGGAGGAGAGATAACACATGAGCGAGCAGATGTTCGCCCTTTGTGGAGGTGGAAGGCAGCGTGAAAAATGTTTAAATACCCGTGTATATATGGTCTTATATAGGCTCTTCTATATGGCTATACTATGGATGCCGACCAAGAATATACCTTCTGGCTCCTATCAGTGTCTATCTTAGCGAGTACTCTATGAGAGGGACCGTATCCTAATGATTTTTGCCTTTTCAGAAAAGAGTACATACGAGTATGTAGAGGTCTCATTTGGTGTAGATCTAAAACTGAGTGACTAGTGGGCATAGAAACATAAACGACAGACTCCCATCGAATTAAACAAGTTCAAGAGATTTTAGCAATAGTCTACAAGGGTTACAAAACGTGAGTGCTTTCAAGGCGTTTATTATTCGAGACTATCTGAACGAAGTTTTCTTTGCCTTCCCTACCTAATGGACCGTCACAAACTATCTTCGGAATATGTAATAGAAAATTGATAAATATGTACATGGTTTTATTGCTATGCTTATTGTTATGCATGTCAATTTTTTATAGATGTGATATATGAATAGACGATAGAAAGATATTTTCATACAGCTGAAAGTCTTTGGAAAACTACATTAAAGGCTTCTCTTTAAGCCGTGAACGAGACCTAGAGACGGCGCGTTCAGGTGCTCATCAGGCTGTCGAGGAATGTGTTTTTGTTAATGATCTTGGTGGTGGCGATCAGGAACTCTACATTGTTATCCTCCTGGTCGGCTAAAAAGCGCAGGGCAGCAATCTCCGCAAACGTGCATCCTCCTACGAAGCAGACTAATACAACTCGCGGAACATGCAGCAGCGAGCCCTCGCTAACCGTGGAGCCCGCGTTCCGACCGCCTATTCCGATTAGCTGCGCTTGGAAGTCCTCGAAGGTCGGCCCATGCAGATTGTTAATCTGGCTCTTCAGTGTCTGCCAGCCCAGCGGCTTTAGGGAAAGTTCCACCAGGCGAGCGGTCAGCGGAGCGTAGAAGCTGTGCACGTAACTTATGTCCTTTGGATCTACCTCGACATTATCTTCCACGGTTAGATGTAGCGTCTGCAAGGATTAGAGATACAAAATTTAGAGTTATTTTCTGGTATTGAAGATATACGCTTGCCCACCTTTCTCAGCACAGCATATGCCCGCGAATCCGTCTGCGGATGCAGCAGACCGGCCATCTCTAGGTTGCTGAAGGTGAGCAATACCTCCAGACCATAGACTTGAGCCACCTCACGCTTGTAGTGGTTCAACAGCTTGTCCTTCAAACCGGAGCCGGCGGCACACTGCAAGCAAATAAGGCGCATCACGTTGCGTAGGTCGGCCTTGCTGGCTATTTTATCCTCGATGTAGGCACTTGGCTTGTCAATGTCGGCGCAGACCATGAACTCTTGTTCGGCAGCCAGGTCGTCTGAGAAGGTGGTATTGTTCACCTGCTCGTGGATAAGGCCTGCTATGGTCGTGTGCTCTGAGGTGGACTTCTTCTGGGCCATCAGCTGGGGTAATACGTTCTCCACAAAGGACTTAATCTCCTGCACGGTCTTGTCCTGTGATGTGGCGTGCATCTGGGTGTGGATCTCCCTGGCCTTGCGGGCAAGCAGTTTAGTCACTTCGTTAAAGTTTTTGTTGCGCAGCTCCGCATACAGCTGCTCTCCAGAGTGCATCAGGATGGTTTTCTTCTCCGAAGTCTCGAGCAAGTGTTCTTCGGGCCTACGGCCTTCTGCTGTCTTATCGGAGGAAAACAAATCGGCAGGAAGGTTAAGCTTGTTTTGCCGAATGCCGTAGAACTCGTCGATGAGGCCCTCGTAGGTGAGCTGCGTGGCCAGGGGGCTGAGCAGGTCGATGCCCCTATCCAGCAGTATCAACTGATCGATGGCCCCTTTGTCGCCGTTGTACAGCGACTTCTCCTCCATTCCCAGATGTTTGGCTTGATCCCAGACGCGTTGAGCCTGGACACCCTTTCCGTAGATCTTTGGAATGCGGCCATAAAGGCGCTGCAGCTGAACGAGACCAATAGCAACCTGGTACAGAGAGCTTGTGTCGCCATCGATGCTTACGTCGCGATAGGCATTAGGTATCTCCATTGTCACCACGTCCGCATCTAGCGGCAGAAAGCTCCAGGACAGCTCATCAATGCGCCCGAAGCTGCCGATCACGCCTTTGTTCTGCAACTGGTTAACGCATAGGCAAGACCGTCTTGGCGCAAACAGAATATGGAACTGGCGCCCACCGACCTGACCATAAGCTTTGACGTGACCCACCAATTGATCCATAAGCGAGACTCTCGGTCGCAAAACGTAGACGATGTTTCTAATATCTTTGGGCAAGACCAAGTCCGGCTTGAGAGCCACAAGCCTAATGCCTCGGTCAGCAAAGAATTTTGGCTTAGTTACTAGCTCGAACGGTCCAATCATTGCCTCGTCCAGCACGATGATTGTCGAGCCCTCGATCCTATCCAAGTGTTGCACAAGCTCACGGTAAGCTGCCTCCTGCAGCAGTTGGAGGTTAAAGCGCTGCCCCGGACTCCTCAGGTAGGGAAACATGTCGCTGGCTCTGTTTGGTGTTCGCATTTGTGTAATTATTGTGTCATTAGAGTCAAATTCTAGTCACTCGGGTCGTTGACGATGCTTTGCATCCCACACACATGAAGATTTTTAACAACAATAAGGTAATGGTATCCTGCTGCAAGCACTGGAGGGTGGTACTGAGGCATACAAATTTGTTCCTAAACTGTGACTTCTGGCACAAATAAAAATATTTAAAAGTATTTGTGAATTATTAGTGGTACTTCACTAGTGGTCGTATTTTACTACACTTCAATACCGGTCAATCATGACGATATTATACACTGTCCCTCTCTTTTCGGTCTTATTTACCGGTCAGTACTACTAAAAGCGCTCTGCCCATGTTTATTTTATTAGTACTTGTATTATATTAAATCATTTTCCCCCATTTGTGCATAGTGTGAACAGATGTACATGTTCTACGACTAATGGCCATATGACATTTAGGAACCAAATTTGTCACAGGGGCCTGTTCTTTTTTACGTTCTTGCGGAAAAGAAATGCAATAAACATGTATGCATACCCTTCCTGTTCGTTGACGAGAGATAGAATATTTCTATATTTCGCTCGCGCCAAGAAAATACCATCTGTTGCTTTTCCAGTATTAATCGGTATTTTTTTTCGGATCTGATCACCGCCTCTAGCTACTGGAGTGCTAAAAGTTAGCCGCGAAACATTTGGTCGACCAAAATACATTTTTCTTACTATTTTCTTATGTTTTGATATTGTTAAGCACACTTATAAAACTGGATGGGACAAAATAAATCAACACGATATTCTAAAATGGCAAAATAAATCTGCACGATATATATTAATCGCAAAAAATGCACACGATATTTTCAATTGAGAACAGTTCAAGCGCATATTTATGAGTGTTTGTGTTTTTGCTAGTATTGGAATGTTGTAATTTTACCGCTGCTTAATGCATTATAGCAACAATTCGCCCACGCCATTATGAGTAAAGTTGATCTAGTGCGTGTGGTACTACACAATCTCATTGTCGAATCTCAGTAAGTAAATTGGAGCCCATCAGTGCACAACTGCAAGTGCTATTTTTCTGCAAGCATACTCTAAATACCAAAATAATTTTTTTGTAGAGCTCCATACACGCCAGACATCATTGTGAGGCATTTTCGTGCCACACACGAGCAGCGTCTCTCATCTAACGAGCTGCTGCATTTACTGGCAACCATCAGCCAAAAGCGGCCAAACTTTCAAACAGTGATCACCGAGGTCACCCATATACTTAAGACGTCAGTATTCTAATATAATTCATTGGGTGTCTAGTTTTTCACGTTCCATGCCTTTCAGGAAGGATCCTATGTACGCACTGCTTGTATTCATCGAACGATTCAGCTGCGAAGATATCGCCGGTAGCCACTTTAAGATTGAAATGCCCTCAGCAACAAATCAGAGCAGTACTGGCTCTCCTGTCAGTGCCTTGTCCTTGGCGAGCTTTGCTCCAAGTGCGTCGACTAGGAGTCTAACTGACGATAGTGCCATACAAACATTGTCAAAGTCCCAAAGCATTCCCACATCAACTCCCATGAATTGTCGTAGAAGCGAAGTATCCCCAGTCCGCTCCACGGGGGGATTATTTGGACGACGCAACCAGAATCTAAAACTGTACCATCAGAAGCAGAAAACCGATCCAGAACGCGCCGATTTGAGTGTGGTTAGAGCGAGCTATCCAAATAGCCACATTTTCTCTAGTTAAATCTAATCAAAATTTATATCTTTTGCATCCAGATCAAAGAGCGCGTGCTGATGGCAGTTTCCAGCAGTTCTCTGAGTAACTACCGTCCGCTGGGAAGTACGGAAGTTAATTTGATGAAGTCCTCCGCCAGTATTAAGACCAATAGCTCCACTAGCTCTGTTCTAGCGGCGGCGACCGGTTTGCCGGATGAGTATCGCACACACATGCTCTGGGATTACTGCAAAGTGGATGGAAACAAAACGGTGCAGCCGGAGCTTGGCGCCCTGCCTCTGGAAAGCCAGCAGCGGGTCCTTCTAAAAGAGCTGATCCATTGTCTGTGTGGCACCCGAGGGAACTTTATTGTCCCTCTGCCGCCAGATGCGAACAGTACAGGCATTGCTAAGTATGAAACATATTTCACTATCCATGCGCACCTGGATAAATCGCTAACAGAGCTGCTGCAGGATATCCTTCCCCTAGCCTCGTACTTTATAGGCATTCAAAAAATGATGGCGGCCACTGATGGCCACGGGCAGGTCGTTAACTCTCTTAATGCGGCTCTCCAAGATCTAACCAACGATTTCTACGTAAGTGTATGCAGTACTAAATCTTCTGAAGCCTCTAAAAAGAATATTTTATGGGTTATCCCTCTAGGTGCTGGTTGTACAAGCTGAGCAGGAGCTACAGCAGCAGCAGTTGACGGTTCAGAAGCTTCTGTACTACCTACAGCCGACCATCTGGGTGATGGAAGAGCTATGGACGACGTTGGTGAATGTGCAACTAAACGAGTTCCAGGGAGCTGCAGTGCTGACGCATCTGCACGGGCGGATAAAGCGGCTGGAGGGGGACAGGGCGGCCCAACAGATAATGATCAATCTGACGCACCAGGCAGCCGAGCCGTACATGCGAATGCTGCAGCTTTGGATCCAGAAAGGAGTTATTGTAGACCGCAACCGTGAGTTTCTGGTGGAGGACAACGAGGTTGTCCACCAAGGCGAGCTGCCCGAGCACTATTCGGACGATTATTGGGAAAAGCGCTACACCGTGCGTCGCGATCGGATCCCTTCCTTCCTGGAGAAGTACTCGGACAAGATACTGCGAACCGGCAAGTACTTGAATGTGATCCGACAGTGCGGAAAGCGAGTGATGCCCACCCAGCAAATGGAGCTTCAGCTTGATCCGACCAACGAGCGGCACGTGTATGTAATCAACGACGCCTACTACTTTGCCGCCCGCATGCTGCTTGACGTACTACTTACGGAAAACGACCTTATGGGGCATCTGCAGTCGGTAAAAAATTATTTGTTGCTGAACCAGGGCGACTTCACCATGCAGTTTATGGACGCCTGTGAGGACGAGCTATCTAAGAATGTAGATCTGGTGCTGCCCATGACCCTGGAGAATCTGCTAGGTCTTACATTAAGACTGTCTTCGGCCCGTAATGATCCCTACAAAGACGACTTGCACTGCGAGCTTCTCACCTACGACCTTGTTACACAGATGTCAAAGATCATGAACCAAAAGGAAGAATATTGGCAGTCGCAGGACCGCCTGGACCTCAGTGGTCTCGAGTGCTTCGCTTTCACCTACGAAGTCAAGTGGCCTGTCTCGCTCGTCCTCAACCATATCGCCATTTCCAAGTACCAGATGCTGTTTCGTCAGCTCTTCTTTTGCAAGCACGTCGAGCGTCAGCTTTGCAAGTGAGTATTCCAGATCTATTCTTCCAGATCAGGTCGCACTTAGCCCTCGCCTTTGCTATTTCTTGCAGGATTTGGAAAGAAAACTCTATCGCTAAGAAGTTCTCGCCGCAGGCCGCTGAGCTGTATCGATCGGCGTTTACTCTGCGCCAGCGCATGATGAATGCCATACAGAACCTGGAGTACTATATGATGATTGAGATCATTGAACCCAACTGGCACATCTTTATCGAGAAAATGAAGAATGTCGAGAACGTGGACAATGTACTCAAGCTGCATCAGGACTTCCTGGACTCGTGCCTCAAAAACTGCATGCTGACTGAGTCCTCGCACTTAAATCGAGCCATATTCAAGTTGTGCAAGATCTGCCTCAAGTTTTGTGACTTTATCCAGGTGAGACTGTTACTAGAACCTTTCACAAATTGCTATGCACCTTTGAGTGCTGCCCCTGCAAAGATAACTGTTTTATTCCTGTTTATATACGTATGTTCTGCGCTTTCCTCTGCTCTCCTCTCCTTACATTTCTCTTTCTCTTGCTGCCTGCCTGCAATAAATTGAATATAAACCAAACACCCTTGATTCGACCTTAAAGCTCTCGCAGCGTTTTTTCCTCGACGCTGAGCTCAAGTCAATGGTCTGTGACTCCAGCGACGACAATACAAATAACTCCGACGTTGATCAGGGAAACTCGAATTGTCCACAGGTATTACGCATTAATGGCTATGGAAAGCTGCTCTGATTTCTACTTGCCTTTTCCGTAACAGTGTTTTTGTGTTGCTTTTTTTTGCTAATGATTTGGATCTGGATTGCATGTTAATTTCAAGCGCAGCTGAAACCACATTATTTGCGTTTTTTTAAATAGAAATTATAATGATTACATTTGAAGTGACTATTTTATATGGATTTATTTATTCATATTTTCTTATATTTATGTTTATTTTAGAAATAGCCATTTATAACGCATCTCAGTAAATTCTTCTTTGGATACATATCTGAATGCTCTCTTTTTAAGTTGTTTTGGTTGTTGTATAAGTTGCTGAAACAGTAACAGACAACAACATTATTTTTTTTTTAACTGTGATAATTTGTATATTAAAATACAAATTTAAAACCCAAAATGTAGCAGATTTTCATGGAAAAATTCAACTCAAAATAGAGTTTCCACTCTAATTTTAGTTTTTACTCCCCAACAGATGCGCACGATGACTTAGTTTTCTATAATTTTGGATAAATACCAATAAACACAAAAAACAAACTAACAAATATAAACAGCAAATTGGTTATATAGACATTATACATAACCCGACCTTTATTTTCATTTATTTGCGTTAACCTTCTTTAAAAATTTACAAAATTTAAACGAAAGAGTTTGGCGCCTTTCTACATACAACTTTTAGCTGATTGTTTTTTGGTTAGCCAAGTTAAAACCAAAAATTATTAGTAGGCACTATTAAAATTTACCATTAAAGTCATTTTTTCATTTTTTGTTTACTAAGGCGCTTATTATTATTAGTAACAATTAACAAAAATAACAATATACGATAATATTATGTACTGTAGTTATTAAAACTAAGTTTATATAATTTTTAAACTTATTTTAAAACATCGTATGTAGATCCAAAACAAAAAAGCTTTCTTCAAGATGATTTTCCTGTTATATTCAAGTAGATTCATTTCTTCTTCGGTCCATGTATGCCCCGAATTAATTCTACAGAAGTTTCAATTAAGTCACAAAAACGGGAGATAAAAAACAAGATCACGACACATTTTTTTTACACTTACTTAAAACAAAAAATTCTTTAGTAATATATGTCTTTAACTGTTTTCCCACATAATCTATACATTTGTAAAAAAACATAAAAAAATATTTAACGCAGCGTTTTTTACAAATGTCGTGTTTGAAAGCTCCTGCTGATTAACAACAACAAATCCAGCAATTTTTAAGTTATCGAATGCAGAAAATTGATCTATCTATCTATCAGCGGGATTTTGGTTGATTTTACCAGTAACAAATTTTAATTTCGTTCCGCTAGATCAGCGGGTTTTTTGGGGACTAGCTTATTCAAAAAGTATCTCAATACTCCACAAAATTTTAAAGGGAGTGTGAGCCCCGAAAAAGAAAACGACATCATTTTTTTCAAACAATATATTTTGTATTTTGATATGGAGGTCAAATTTTTTCCAATAGATAATTTCGAAAAGTCAGACTCTAATACTGGGTGACTTTTTTTCTTTTTTTTTTAATTACTTAATTAAATGTAATCAAAAATCTTATCGATTTAATATGCCAGAAAAGTTATGATTATGAAGAAACCTTTTTTATTTTGCACATAATCAATTTCGTTTCGATAGATCAACGAAATCGCCAAGTATTTATTTCCATCTTCTATAATATATAAATGGTCTTGTTTGCAGCCTAACAGGCTTTTTTTTATTAAGATATAGTTTTATTGTTTTAGCTTCAAGAGAATATAAAATCTATATAAATTCGTAGAAGTTCTTCCTTACTTACTAAGGACTTACTCTTAATTTAACGCGTTTAAATATTTTCGATCTTGAAAAATATAAAAATTAAAATGCTTAACTAAATTCTATTACTTCTGCCAGTTCGAGAGCTCGTTGGATCCGACAGATACGTTTTCGGAGCGCGTAAAACGCTTTGATCTGGAATTTACCGGACTGTTGATATCTTTTCTCAAGCAAATCAACAATATGGCCAAGAAGAACACCGCCGATCGTTTCATGAATCTGGTGCACCGAATCAACTTCAACGCCTTCTACTCCGATCAAATGGAAAAGCTTTGCGTCAAAGATGCCATGGGCTGATTCAAAGGAGCACGCGACAAGTAATACCAAAAGCAAAGAAGATGAAGCAGTATAAAACAAACAAAAAAAAAAAAAAAACCATCCAAGCTAAACATGTATTTAATTATTTATAATTTTGTTCATTCCCAAACGCCTTCTGGTGTTTCATAGCACACAATAATTATTTTTCATTTAGCTGTAAAGTATCTTTTTCATTAGATCGTTTTAATAAACCATGAAAAGCTAGTTGTTGTTAATCAGTAATCTGATATAAACTATTTTTGCTTGCCATCTTCAGTTAGGCCAAAATAATCTGATCTGTAAGTGCCATAACAGAAAGCCCTATATCCGAGAGAATCAGAGATGAATCACATTACATACAAATTGTAGCTCGGTTTTACGACATGATTTTTGATGCTGTTTAAGTGTATATTCCTTTTGTGCGAATTCACCTGAATTTTAAATGCTAAAAATGGTTTTTTTCCGCGCGTCAAATACAAATATATGGAGATATAGTCGCCGCAACAAGTTTAGGACAAATTGTGCTGATTTGCTTGAGTAAGACACCAGGTTTATGTACAGATATTTTGTGCAGAAATACATATGTTACTTATGATCAGGGATCGTAACGGTTATAAGGTACATATATCTAAAAAATCACACAATAATAGTTATTCATTATTTGTAAGAAAATATTCTTCGATGAAAATACCAATTTTTTGAGTTTTATTAACAATAATAAATAATAATATAATAATTATTTTTGAGGAAAAAATAAAACAAATTAAAAATAATTATTATCCAGTCTAAAAAATAAATTTTATAATTTTGTATTTATTTATTGCGGGAAATGCTTAGTGCTTAGGATTAGCCAGTCAGTTGATATAAATTGGATTTTTCTACTTTGGAAAATATGAGAAAAAAACGTGCTTAAAAAACTTTGTACGGTCCCGATTTTAATATTTTTCAAATCATTGTCGATATTTTTGAAAAGAATTAAGTATAATTTAAAACACATACTTTTTTTAGAGTTTGGGCAATACTTTAAAATTTCTCAATAAAGAAAGCAAAAAGCATTTTAAATTAATCTCAATTTTGCTGCTTTCGGGAGATTTTCCATGTATTGGTATATCTTTATGTTTTTTGACTCTTGTGCTTATTTTTATATTTTAGGAAAATTATTCCATAAAACCATCGTGTACGCGGTTTTCGTAGTTCCAACTTGACCTGAATTGTGGTCAAAAAAAGAATAGGATGAAGCCATAAGGAAATAGGAAAATAACAATTATAAGAAGAACTTGCGTGGTTTGGCTTATTGAAGGTCTTTATAAATCTGATATATACGAATTTCGTGTCACGGTGTTTGTGTTTAAACTCCTTCCAAACGGCTCGACCGAAATATCTAAATATCCCAAAATTTATACATACAGGCAGGCTCCATTGAACGGCTTGCCCATCGCCAAGTATCTAGATTCAAACATGTTCCTGAAGTCCATTCGCAATAGTTCACAATACGGCGGAAAATGTTCAACAATTCAATGCAACATTTCAAATCAAAGATCAAGTGTACCACAAATTGGGTTTTTTGCTGCCAATGCCAAACAAAGAACATACATTTTTACAAATATACTTGCTTTATGGACGGTGAGGACATCAATCGTGTAGACCATTGTTCAGCAAAGCGTGTGCCACGGCACACTGGTGTGTCGTGGAAAACATCTTTTATTGATTTTAGTATTAAGTAAATATTAAATAAATATGGCTTTCTTCTTTGATGTACCTCTAAAGTTACTTGATTTGATATCTGTCACGGACTCTCCAATCGCGTAGATGCGAGTTGCAGCTACGATAATCTCCATTCGCCAAAATCCAGGCGTATAGGCGACGAGCCAGCTGATCTATTGAAAGAGCAGATTGAATTAGTGAAAACACACCCACATTCTATCCGAAATTACCCGTAAAAAGTGGCGCAGCAGCGGGGGGATCAAATATGGTTAAATATAAACGGCTAAAAGGGAGTGGCTTGCTGCAGTTACGGTGGAAAGCTGAAATGGAGAGAGCAGGGTTCAAAGTGATGACCTCGAGTTCTTGGAAGAGTTGAAACGCCAGTTCAAGACAATAAATAAAACGCATGTCAGCTTGCGGGCTAGATTTGAAAACACCATGTTTTTCACATTAACGAGCTTATTTCTGTTGGCTAAAGAGGGCTTGACCAAAAATATGGTACACTCCAATGCTCTTCAAATTAATGTAATATTAATAACACTATGCAACACCACAATTCCGCTGTGAACCAAACTGTTTTTAAAAATGTAAAATGATTTTTTTTTTCTAACAATTTTTGAAAACTGGTATTTTTTGATGAGTTTTTTCAGAGGCTTTTTCACCTGACTTACACCTGGTTGCATTGAAATTTTACAATTCTGCAAAGCTGATAAATGCAGCTTTGAATCGAACTCAATCTTTTAATAGCTTCAGCTTACCGTCTTGAAAGTTTTAGGCTTTCTAAATTCAAAATTGATCATTTTTTAAGCTATTTCTTTCAAGCTTTGGACTTTGAAAACTCGGGAAAAGTGGATTATGGATAAACGCATAACCTCTCGCATACTCTCTCGCTCTCGTTTTGGTATCGCTGTTCGCAATTGGCCCAGAATGAATTTTTGGTTAATACGTGGAGGGTGGTAGGACATGGGTTGGATAGGGGGCTCGAACATGGATTTTTTCTTATCCTTATCATGGTAGAAGTCCATCATCACCGTTATGGGGGAAATATCGAGAGAGCGAGCGCTGTTGTGTTCTAATTTTAGTCATGTTCCCGCAGTGCGTCTATCCCATTACAGCTAACGACCAATATTCCAGCCATTTTCATTCCTGTAGAATAAACGTACATCTCTCTTTCCACCAGCGGCTTAAGCGATATACATATAAGCTTACACCTCCAGGTGGTGCACAATGTACGATGACGAGTATGAGGAAGAGCGAGCGCGTAGCAGCGGAAATAATGATACGATTTGATATTGATTCGCCAATCTGGTAGATAGGGATTTGGGTTGATATAGAGATGGGGATGCACAACACAACAACACGATACGAGCACATAAGTATGCTAAGGACTGTTTGCGACAAGACTTTCTGGACGGAAAATCCGGTTGCTCTAGCTCTAAAAATGTCTAAGATCTAGTCGGCTATCAAGATGGACAGTCGGACAAACGGACCGTTATTGATGCTGATCAAGAATATACTCGTATTTTTTAGGGTCGGTCGCTCCCATCTGGCTTTTCCCCTGTACTCTTGAGTACAGGGTATGGTGTAATGAGAAAAATGTCGCCCTGCTGTTTCCGAAAAAGTGCTCGGGGCGTACATATGTCAAGTTTCTGTCGTTGCCGTTTAAAGTGCTCCCCTCCCGCATACGCAACTTGCTATGCCCCTTTGAACGGACACTTTGCGACAAGCGAAGAGAGCTTTTGGGACAGTTTGGGCTGGATTGAGCACTGGTAGAGCACTGGTAGAGCACTTGATGAGCGGCACAATTTTAAATTGGAGACTTTTAAATTTCCTCTTATAAAAATCGTTCAATTTGCAACTTTAAAGGGCGAAAAAAGACTCGGCCTGATCTCTGTTTCCTGTTTTTTTCTCTTTATTCATCCCAACGGTTGACATGCGTGAACTTATCGAGGAAGTACAATCGGTCGAACCAACGCATAGCCAAAGAGAAAAGGTATATGTACATGGCTCGGTGTATTCCATACGATATGGAAGCGCTGGTACTAGGTAGATAAGAGGTATTAAAAGGTTTCCCTTGACTATTTTGTATTTGTGTGTGTTCCGGGATTAGTAATATCTAATAAGGCGTCCCTTCCTTTTCGCAAGCAACATTTCAACTCTACTGTGTCCCTTATTTTTTTGCAAGCGAAGTTTCAACACGCATACCCTCTTTTTTTTAGTTCTGAGTACAACTTCTAACCCAATTCGACTCGGCTAAATGTAATTTAAAAAAGCCAAAACATTTTTTGTTCAAGTCCGAGGTGAATTTTGCGCAGTTTACACTAGACAACAAAATTTAATTTTTTACTTCCGCCTCGAACGCTTTTCTAAAAAAGTTTGAGCTTTTCAAATTTGGAATTAACTATTTTTGTTTCTAAGGTGTGGTTGTTCTTTTTAGTTTCCAAAAACTGTTTTTTTTTTCAGACGCAATGGTTTTTCTTCACATAACTTAAATATCTTTATAGGTTCAGCTTACCGACTGGACAATATGAAGCTGTCAAACTAAAAATGAATCCTTTTTTTCTTTTAAGGAAAATAAATATATAATAAATATAGATTTTCCAATTTTGTAATTCTTTTTAAATCATCAATTGGCCCCCTAAACATTGTATCTTAAGTTTACAGTCTTACAAAAAAAATATATATATATATTAAATTAGTTCTAACCCAATATAACAGATACTTATAATACATTTGTTTTCCAAATAAACCATATATGTACATTAGGTTATCAAGAAATGTATATATGTATGTATATAGAAATGGTGTCCGTCACATATTTTATTGTTTTGATATCAGCTGCTAAAGCTGATCAAGAGTATATAAATCACTTGTTTTTTCCCTAATAGATTTTCACATAGTACTTTTCGATTTAGTGTTAGAGTCGGCAATTGACGCGGTAATCTGGAAAATCGCCAGGGTCAGTAGATAAAAAATTAAGTTTTTCAGCCGATCAGCATCCGCTTAAGAGTGGCCCGAAACCGCAATCCGCCTGCGAGGGATTAGCCTGTGCAGGTACAATGCTCAAAGTGAATTCTCCACCTCCTGTAGTCCGGTAGAACCCCTGGGGACTCCTCTCAACCCTCGGCTCAGCGTCTGCCACAGCTGGCAAACAAATAGCGATGATGACAACAATTTAAAATCCATCAAGAGCACAAAAAGGCCTCATTAAGTCAAGAGGGTGACGGCAGGAATGGGGTAGGCGTTGCTGCCCGCTACCAAGGGGTGAGAAGACGTGTACCCCACTCCAAAGCCAACACCCGCCTCCCCGTTTGACAAGCGCAAAATGTAAGCATAAGACACAATAGTAATTATTGCCCAAATAATTGCAAATGATGAACCAATGCACACTGGCACTCCTTCCTTTTCACGCTCTTGTTATATGTGGCGTGCTGCGGGGTGACTGCTCTAGTGGAAGTCTATGAATGGGGTGTCATTTTGGTCCATCACCATTTGTCCCTCACAA